GGTCACAGGAACCACTCCTGCCCAAGAGGTCTCCCCAGGTGGCAGCGTCGAGACCCCACCAAGCCGGCAAAGCAGGGGTGAAGGACAAATGTCAGAGGCACCCCTCCTCACGCCCTCGCACACATCCCCTTCCCCGATGCTCCTCCCTGTCCTCCCTGCACCCTCCCCTTGCGCCAATGTGATAGCAGCAGCTGAGTCGACAAGTCATTTCTAAAATTAGCCAGTGAGCTCCTGGTCTGGCCAGGAGACGGCAGCCTGGGGTGGCCGTTGACCAGGCATCGGAGAGCATGGACATATTTGGTGGCACAGAACAGGGGAGGGGACAGCTCCCGACGCAAGCACATTCTCCCCCGTCATCCCTGCCCAGGGCGGGCCACACACCCACACTCCCGCCTCTGGAGATAACTGGAGGCCATCGGACCTGGGCGAGGAAAGCCCCGGGCCTCCATTCTAGCTGGACTCTGGAAAGAAATACCATGAACTCATGCTGCAGCCTCTTAGAAACAATCTGTGCTAATAAACATGCCTAAGGAGTTGGCAGCAGTTATCACACCCCACACACCAACCGGAGGGCTTTAATGGACTCATTGTCTATTCCCCACAACCTTAGGAGGTAGGGTTTCCCCACGCCCATTTGATGGATGGTGAAACTGAGGCACAGAGAGGTTAATCAACTTGCCCAAAGCAGTGGAGAGTCAGGGTTTGAACCTTGGCAGTGCTGGCCCCAGAGGGCACGGTCTTACACACTGCACCAAGGAGGATGCCATAAAAAGTGCTTCTTTTGCTGCCTAGAAGGGGAACAGTAGGGACTTCCATAGATGAAGTATGTCGTGCAGGTCCACACAGCTAGGGAGCGGTAGAGTCAGGACTCAAATCCAGGTCTTTCTGATTCTAAAGCTAATGGTCATTCAAACACGATGCACCGCTTCTCTTAAGAATCATTTCACCAGCAGCCTTGGGGTATAATTCCTTTCCTCCCTTATCGGGCCCAGCACGTCCCCAGCTGGACTATGATGTGGTGAGGAGAGGGGAGGCGCAGGTCCCGCTCGGGGGCCCGCGTGGCCACTGCGTCATCCCTGAAATAACCTACTTAAGATGTTCCCCAAAATAGTACATTTGACTTCTTGTACAGGGAAAAAAAAAAGTGTCAGATGTGTCACACACATATACAGGAATACACACACAGAATTACAAATGGGCTACGAGAAATACAATACAGCACAAAGGTCCTCAAAGCCCCTCCTCTACCCCGGAAGTAATCACGCTTCTGAATTTTCTTGAATCAGTCACTCTTCTGAATTTTCCACTCGTCATTCTTTTCTTTCAGGTTTCTCACCTACATAGGATGACATCCCTAAATGACACATGACTTAGTTTGCCCATATTGAACTCTGCACAAATGGAACCATGCTATACATGCTATACATTGACATCATATTTTGCTCTTCATTTGCTCCACATGAGGTTTTGACGTTGGGGCACATACTTGTGGTTTCTTCATTTGCACAGCTATGTGGTATTTGGTAGTAGGAAGATGCATTTATCCATTCTACTGTGGATGGACTTCTGTTTTGGTGACAGTTTTTGTCTGTTATTACACATAACCAACACTATGATGAATATTCGTGGACACATCTCCTGGTGTATTTGTGTAAGTTTCCTTAAAAGCATATATACCAGGGGTGCCCCAAAAATGTACACAAGTGGACGCTTGGTCAACGTTACTCAAGCAGTAGTTCACCGTAACCAGAAGTATCTGGACGCTGATGGTGACCACCTCTTGTAATTGCAGAAGTCAAACGTGACTTGTGTTCATCTTTTGTTATCAGTATATGTTGAGTACTACAATTTTAATACAGTTTTCCTTTCTTAAAATGTGTATTCATTTTTTTGGCACCCTCTGTATGTAACGAGGAGGGGAGATCACAGGTTGTAGGGTATGCACCATGCTCACATTTTCTAGAAGGTATCAAATTGTTTTCAAAAGGATTGTGACAATGCCCACAGCTACTGGCACAAAGACCAGTCATACCATATTTTCACCAGCACTTGAAAATTAGATTTTTTTTAAATTATGTATTTTTTTTCAATTTGGTAACAGTTGTTTTTTTTTTCCAGGACCCATCAGCTCCAAGTCAAGTTGTTGTTTTCTATCTAGCTGTGGAGGGCGCAGCTCACTGGTCCATGTGGGAATCGAACCGCCAACCTTGTTCAGAGCACACTTTTCTGACAACCCAATAGTTGTGGAGGGCACACCTCAGTAGCCCATGTGGGAATTGAACCGGCAGCCTTGGTGTTATGAGCACTACGCCCTGCGCTCGAACCACCTGAGCTAACCGGCCGCCCCGTCCTTGCTTTCTCTTGAATCAAGTTTTCCTTTTTCCTTTTCAGTTTTTCTCTGTACTAGTTTGGAAGTTATTCACGATTTCTGTTCTTTTCGTGTTGCCCTAGGCTTTTCAGCATGCCATTCTAAATTGAAGTCTAAAATGTGCCCACGTTTTACCCAGCTGACATTTAAAAAAAAAAAAGTAACAGGCAACTTGAACCAAGAGGTGAAAATGCTTCCTTGTTTTTGCAGCTAATATAACTCGCGTTCCTTACTGGTTCTCCCTGCCACATTGATCTCTGGTGAAGAGGCTAAGAGCTTAAACCTTCAGTTTTGAAATGTGATGCTGAAACGTGAGACCACCACTTCCCAGCGAAATGCTTGGGGCAACTCTAAAAAGCCAGCAAGGGCCGGACACCCAGTACTTATGTCTGTGGGGTGACCCCATCTTCTGGGCCCGACCAATACTGAGCTCATCTGACAATATAGATATGGAAGGCGGACCCCAAAGAAACAGCACAGGAAATTTCAAGAGGTAGATTGGCTGAGAAAGGAAATGATAAGGCCACTTGCCCCTCTGCTCGCTGGAGGGGACACTGAATCTCCTTCTTCCTGTAGAGACAAGACCATCCCAAAGCAGCGTGATCAAAAATCCCTTCTGCGTTAGAAACCCAAGGTCAAAGCTAACTTTCAAACCACACCAGCACACCCTATCACATGCAGTTCAAGGCATGACTGATGTAAATCTATGCTTGAAGCAGATTTCAGTTCTGGAAACTTGAAAGCAGCGCTTTCCTTATGTAGGCCCTGTGCTCTGACTGATGCGCTGGGGCACGTTGCCAAGGCACCAGGGGGGACAGCATCACAGCACTCCCCCCTCCCGAGGGGGCGCCCAGCTTTGCATTTCACCCCTGAAAATGAGCCTTCCAATGTGCAGGCTTGCAGACTTGATGGGACTCCCCAGCCTGGCGCCATCAGTTGTAGTTGGTAATATACGGTGTGGACTCACACACAGTTTAAAATATTAACAAAAATAAAAGGGAGTCTATATCGAGTGAACGCTCTATGTCCCGCACTGTTCTGAGCACTGTTTCAACTTATGAAAGGAAACCTAGAATGGACTTGGGGTGCGCAGTACCATCATCTCACTGCAGAGACAAGTGGTACAGGCCCCAAGAGAGGAAATAACCTGCCCAAGGCCACTCTGGGAGTGAGCTGGGGAGCCCGGCTCAGCTCCTACACACGTGAAGTCCAGGCAGATGTGACTTCCAGGCTATCAAATCAATACTGTGTCAACGCCTCGAAGGGTAACTGAAGAACTGGGCATTTTACCCAGATACCAATGCTAAAGAATAACATCAAAATGTAAAAGCCAGTTGTTTGGGATATCCAGAAATTAGGCAGGTCTCCTTTGTGTGATTACCTGCCTTGGTCTCCCGTTTTGCCTGTTACGCATCCGTTAATATGAACCACTAAGTAAATTCCCCTTTATGGTCTTTCTACATTATGCATACTTCTGAAGCTGCATACGTGAGCACAGAGTGAAGGCTCAGAGTTTTATCTGGTTAATCTGATCCCTAGACACAGCCAGCCTGAGTACTTTGGACTGAAAACTTTTTTTTTTAGCTGAGCCATCCTGCCACCTGTTAGCAGCTCAGTGGCAGATCAGCTCAGGCTGGGAATCCAACCAGTGACCCTGTTGCTCAGAGCAAGCTTTTAACCAACTGAGCCACTCGGCTGGCCCTGAAAACCTTTGTTGAAACTCCATTATCCAGGTTAGGAAAAGCAGCCAAGAAGAGAAAATCATGCAGTTTGAGTCCTCGCCCTCAATTCAACATGTGGTCCTTGCCCAGGTAAACCTGAGGGACTCCAGCATGGAGGAACACATGGTTTAAAAGGGAGAGTAACACAGTTACCCATAAGGCAACGTGGGAGGAACCAGGGGCCATGGGGGGAGAGCATTTCTTTTTTGCTCTCCAAGTCATATGGCCGAAGTCCCTCACATTTATCCTTAGTCAGAAACTTGGAGGATGTTTTTTTGCTAGCATGGTCCTTCAAGGTCATCTAATTAAACTCCCTTAACTTAAGGATGAGAACACTGAGGACCAAAGAGATGGCCCAAAGTGACCTTGCTGGGAGTAGGGTCTCTTGTTTCTGGGTACCAGTGACTGGATTTCTGCAGCTCTCAGGACTGGCTCTCAGTTATGTTAACACAGCAGGCCAAGGGCTGCATTACGCTGCTGCCTTCTGTCCAGGGAACTGACCCCATGGGTGTCCTGTCAGCTGTCAATTTCAATGGTTTTCATATTGGCAAGCACAAATACATTCAGGGACACTTGATGGCTCCATGGCCCAATTGTGACTTCCTTCTTTCCTGAACTAGCAAGACACAGGAGGAGCTTCCGGCTCAAGGACAGGAAGTACCCACCCTACCCTCAACCTGCGGACCCACAAGCAGACAGTCCTGCCCAGGCAGTCTTGGCACTGGGGCCACCTTGGACTTCTGGTTTAATGTAAGACACACCACGGAGTTTCTCAGCATGTCTCTGGGAGCAGAGATGGAGATCGAGGGGTTCTTAATTTCCGTAAGGTCTCTCCTCGCCCGCCCACTGGGAATATGTTGGGGAGCCCGGCATCGCTCCTGGACATACTGGAGACAAGATGGCCCTCCTACCTTGTCGATGGCCCAGGCTTTCACAGGCTGTCTCCTTGCAGCATGTCTCCAAAACCCTGAAACCATGCAGTTGGCTGTGCTCCAACAATCTACAAAATCAACAGAAATGCTTGTTGGCGGTCCCCTTCCTCTTTATAAAATCAGCCTCTGTATGAATTTTCCCCAAAGTCAGGATTCTTCAAAATGAGTCATCTCTTGATGTTTTCAACAGCTCGATAAATGCAGGAGGTTTTTTTAATTTAAAAAATATTTTTATTGGGGAACAGTGTGTTTTTCCAGGACCCATCAGCTCCAAGTCAAGTAGTTGTTTTCAATCTAGTTGTGGAGGGCGCAGTTCAGTGGCCCATGCCGGGATCGAACCTGCAACTACGGTGTTATGAACACTGCACTCAAACCAATTGAGCTAAATGGCTGCCCCGATAAATGCAGTTTTTAATTGGGGAGAAAACAGCACACCAAAGTAGGTATCTTTATACAGATCCTTTTTATTGAGATTTATATAAGCAATTTATCAACACAGAAAACCAGCCTAGCTGCTCCAAAATAAGTGTAAAAGATGGTGCTACTGACGGTGACACACCACACACAGGGCAGGTGACCACAGACGTGGAACAGCATCTCAGTAGGATACAATTTCAAACGTGCACTAATAAATGCATACTGAGACGGGACTATAAACCCCCACTGGCACAATCATTGTGCAAAGAGCTAAAAAAACAAACGATAATTGCACAGGTACAATAATATCTAGATTGACAATATCTGATTCACTGGCTTCACTTTGTGTAGCAACGCGCAATAGAAAACGGATTTATTTCTTTAAGGGTATTACACTTTGCCAAGAATATACTAAATATGTTACTACATGGATGGTTCTGCAACTGAGCAAAACAGGTAGGGTAAAATATCCGTGTGTGAGGAGGAAACCCCTCGCGGGTCTGAGCTTCATTTCACACAAATCCTCAAGGGTCCGTGCAAAGATAACACCTCTTACCAAGTTTTAATCACACACAGGGGCATTTGTGTCTCTGACCACATTTTTTGAACCATCTTGAAACAGTGTGTGTGTGGGGAGTCACATTCAAATGTGTGACTCTGAGAAGTGGTGTTTTTAAACCCACCTGGCTGTCTGTAAAGGAGAGTGCCCTGGAGGAACTTTCCAGAAAGCGCTTGGTAAGTCAGGAGCAGTAGTCGAATCCTGAGGCGATGGCAAAACTGACTGTGGGGATTTGGCACAAGAAAAGTGAGCAGTGACGCTCTGCAGGCGACCCTCAGCTCCCGAAGGATAACCCCTTAGAACAGCGGTTCTCAACCTTCCTAATGCCGTGACCCCTTAATACAGTTCCTCATGTTGTGGTGACTCCCAACCATAAAATGATTTTCGTTGCTACTCTGTAACTGTAATTTTGCTAGTTATGAATTGTAATGTAAATATCTTTTTGTTTTCCGATGGTCTTAGGCAACCCCTGTGAAAGGGTCATTCGACCCCCAAAGGGGTCGCGACCCACAGGTTGAGAACCTCTGCCTTATAAGGAAAATCAACCCCCCCCCCCCCAGAGAAGGCTGGGGCTTTGAAAGCAAATCTACGACACCAGGGAGTGACAGTGAAGTGCTTTACTGAAATTCTTTTATAATGTAGCCAGTGTAGAATAAAGCATTAGGAGGCTTTCGGAAGAGGTAGATGAAAGCAGTATTTCACAGCGAGTTCGCTGTCAGAAGTTATGAAAAAGTGCGGACTCCTCTCAGCACAGACCACAGGATGAGCTATTGTTGAAAACGGTCCACGGCAGCAAGAGGACACAGGCACTCCACGGTGCTGAATGCGTGACTTCCATTTTACTTTGTGAAGAACAGAAAGGGCTGCCATTTCTTTAAATAACGAACTATACAAATAAAAAGGAGCGCAAATGATAAGGAATGCTTTGGAAGAAAACAAACTTTAAGGAATCAATAAATAATAGAAAATGCTTTTGTGCTAGAATACAGCTCTCCATATATGTGTGTGTGTGTGTGTGTGTGTGTGTGTGTGTGTGTGTGTGTGTGTGTGTGTGTGTGTGTGTGTGTAACGTAGCAATCTGTTACCCAGAAAAAGCCCACTCTGTTATAATTTGTTAAAACATAGAAAAATGACAATTTAACAATAGAACTAAAAATGGCCAGTGTTTAGCTTATAAACCACATATAATTATATACATCATGGAACATAATCAACTAAGAAACAAATTCAATTTCAAGTCCTTTGTAACATGAATACGTGATTAGAACTATTTCTCCATTCCCTACCCTTATATTTTATAGGACAAAATTAAAAATGGAAGCATAGATACCAGTTTTCAGAGATGATTTTGAGATGTTTAGGTATAGGAGTGTTAGCTGTACTGTAAGAATATGAATAACTTAACTCTAAAATGTATAGATTTTTTTCCTGTGTTTTAATGAAATGCATACATCTGCTAACCCCTTTTCTGTAGTGTGTGTGTGTGTGTGTGTGTGTGTGTGTGTGTAAAAGGCAATTTAAAATGTGGGGTGCTGCATTTATCAATCAATGCTAACTCAGCCATGTCCCCAGAGATGGCCAAGTGACCGGCCATTCGTGTCTCTCCAGGCCTTCGGATGCTGCTGTGAGTGGACATGCTGTCACACTCTGCTATAAAAAAATAGCTCTTAGTCTCTGAGGACACAGGAAATCTAAAGTCTATTACATCTCGAGGAAACCAAGGAGTATCATTTTAGAGTTCAACTTTCGTTAATGCTATAGTAAAATTTTTTAAAATGTGGCCTGGATTTAAAAAAAATCATATTAACATGAATCTAAGTAATTAATTTAAGCCTCTCAAGTCAATTTATCTGGGAGGGAAAATGATGTTAGATCTTTAGGAAAAAATTTAAACTATTAAAGCTCATTCTAGAAATGAGTGTGGCTTACACAGCAAGCCCCGTCCTATTATCCTAGTTTTATTACAACCTCAATGGACGTGCAACAATGTCCGCAGCTGACCGACATGGCAGGGCACTGCCAGATACCCAGATGCCACCCCTAGCCCTCCCCATGGTTGCAGGGCACACATGCCAATACAAGGTGTTAGCTCTAGGTCCTGGGCGCCGTCCCCGTGGGTACTGGATGACATGCATGCAGTGGCAATTTAATTTCTACAGAATGTCCCAATGGAAAGCAAATGGCCTCTTAATTAGTTTCAGCAGCTCCATATTGAAAAATAAAGTGACCGAGTCTAACAATCATTATTATTCAACTCCTCTGTCATAAGGGGTGTAAAGGGAATGATTTTTTTTTACCAGCAAATTAACTCCTTTCTTCCTTTGCCCCATTTCTAACACTATGCTCTCTGTGACACCCACTTCACCCACCTCCGGGCGACCACCTGTCACAGATTCCTGTTAAGCCCAGTTCCTCTCCGGGTACAATCAATGGGTCAGTCCCCTGGGGTGGGGAGAAGTTCACTTGTCAAGCATCACTGAATGACACTGAAACAGTCCCCTGAGCATAACTGAGAAAAAATTACATACGATTAAATCATCCAAGATAAGTCTTATCTCACGCCAGCACATTTCAAGGTATTTTTGTTATAGATTTATATCATGCGAGAAAAGTCCAACTTGGAGAATTTCGCTTCCTTCTTGATAGGTTCAAAAGTGGAAACGTCAGAAAAATCAATTCCACCGAAAAGTCAAACGTATTGAATTGGCCCAACTATAAATTCTGAATGAAATAAAAAAAAAATCCTTAGAGACAAACCACACTTTGACCTTTTTAAATCTAGTTAAATTACACGGTCAATTGCTAAATGATATTTTTGAATGGCCAGTGAGGGCCTTAGAGCACTGGTTTCTAATACCCATTATGGTATATTTCAAACTGCAAATCAAGCTAAACCTTGTTTCAAACCGATCGTTGTTTGTTGTTGTCTTTCTCCCTCCCACCCTCTCTTCCTTATTCCCTCCCTCCCTCACACCATTTTCTTTTTGTCCAGTTTTACTGGCCTTTCTTGAGCAGAGTGCTTCCTTTTCTCAGTGCACCTGGACCTCTGGCCCCTTCGTGTTACATACAGAATCTGAAAGTGCAATGTCAGGGAACTGACTGAGGAGTGAAACATTTGCCTTAGCTAGTTTCTATAACTGTTGCTGAAAACTCATACTTGAACATGATATAGAAGAAAACCCCAAAAGCCCCAATGACAGGAGAGGATAAATGCACCATAGAGAATGTTTTAGGTTAAAAAAATAACCTTGGAGTCACCAAAGTTCTCCATTTATTCCATAGATGTTAGATAGCAGCTTAAAGTCATCTATTATTTTTAGGCTTCGCTTTATTGACTCCTTTGAATTTTGAAATCAAGGCTTATGATAACTTTATAAAAATACCAACTTCGATTATCTTTGACAATGTTAAAATACCCCAACTATATAAATCTAAAATAATGAGAAAACTTGTGCAGAATTTCGCCCTTTCTAATGGTACAAGCGTGGGAAGGGTCAATAATCTAGGGATGATCTATCTCTTAAAACCTTCAAGACAGCCACGCACACCTAGACTCTGGACCAATGGCTCTGACCACGCAGGTGCGGGTGCTGGCCCGAGAGGCCCCAGAAGCGGCTCCCGTCGGGCAGCAGGACCACTCACCCCCTCAGAACAGCTGAAGGCATGAGCTCAGGAGCTCAGGGAGAAGACAGGCCTCTCCAGGACTGCCAAGCCAGACCCAGCACAGCCAGAGACCGGCCCGGCGAGCCGCTCGTCCTAATCAGAGTCCTTTCAACAAATGCACCGACGTCGCGGCCTTCCCAGCCGTGTCGGGATGAACCAAGAGTGTAAAAGTTTACTCGGAAGAAGTCCAAGGCAAAAGGGATCTTGAGCTACCTTCCAATTCATATTTCTTATGAGAAATTTCTAAATTTCTAAAAGAAGTCAAACTCATGTTCCAAACCAGAGCGAAAATTTGATTTTTCAAAGAGGTGGGTGTGACCCGGTGAAGCTAATGCCCTGGGTATGAATGGGGGACACTAGGCCCAGGCCCTGAGGGGGTCCCTGTGCCTTCTCTACACGCCGCCCTTCCCTCTGTCCAGCAGAGGCATGAGGCACCGAGACTTCCAAACTCTGAGATCTGAGCACTTGTGACAATGACAGCAGGGACAGCTGTACTTGACCTTCCCTGCGAAGATGCTCACCCTTCGAACAACTGCTTTTCTGTCTCTGGTGTTTTGGGGTTTTTTTTCCTACACAGAATTTGAATACTATTCTTCCCTTTTAAAATCAGAAATGCATGTAAACAGCACACCCTCTTCCTATACTGGAAACGGCAGACAGTAGAACATGTATGTTAATTTAAACCTATACTAGTAGTTGAGATGCGTGGCAACCCTGCACATTTTCCCAAAGTAACTCCTATGAAATAAAAGACACGGTAATTATCTTCTCAACTCTCAAAATGGGATTTCATTAAAAAGTACTTACTTTCCCCATGAACACAGCACACAAACGTGAAAACAAAGATTGAGAACTGCTACAAATATCAAGGATGGAATGCAGACAACTAGGATGTCAAGTTATGTATAGCGTCAGTAGTTAACTTAGAAACGTACAATAAAATTGCACAGCACAAATAAGTGGACTTTAAAAATTGTTATTATTTTTAGTCCGAAGACATGGAGGACTTGGCGGGGAAATACACTGGTTCTTATAAGCCAGCATTTATTTGAGGTGGGAAAAGAAAACAAGAGGAGAGGATGCCATGGGAATTAGGCAAATAGTCTTTATGCTGTAATGTTGTCACTGTCACAGAACCACCCGCCCAGTGCAAAATATTATTCACTCATGACAATAAGTGACAACACAAATGTCAATATGCAGTTAACCCATTTGGACACATTCATTCTTCAGTATTCTTTTTTCAATAAAATTCATTTTAAATTATACAAGGTAAAACAGTTTCTTTATGCGTCCACGACTGATTATGTTTTCTGAGGTCAGGCAGAAGGAACCAGAATTAACTGTATCACACAATGGCTTACTGTTGAATGTCAAAACCCAACACAGGCTCACCCCCAAACGTTCATGTGTACCCAAAAACATGAAAGTGCTGCTTGTTTCCTTGAAGATTTCTGAAAATCGCTATTGCCCTGAAAGTGAAAACTCCGCCGCCTTCCCTTCAGAATCACTGTGAACCTTTCCAGGGAGCTGTGGAATGCCTTCAGTTCTGAGCGACTCCCACGTCCTCTGAGGGCACGCTCCCTCTGTTCTCAGCCGGATGAGAGCTCCTGCTCACAGGTGGATCTGTACCTGTGGGTGCAGCAAACACGAGGGCCCAAGTGCAGCCTTCTCAGAAAATATCTTCAGCTTCCAACCCCAGGAAGACAAGAAGTCAGCTCTGAAGTGCACAGGAGAAACACACGGTTGGTCTCCCACCCCCGTCAGTATGGAGCAAAGACATACCAAGTCAGCAGCGGCTGTTCATAGGCAAAACATGGCAACAGGAGGGCGAGCTAGTACCCAACACTGCAGATGGTGAAATTCCACGTTGGCAAGTCTAAGATATGTTTGATATCAGACATAAAAATCGAAGTGATAAGTCGGAAACATCTCAAGTTCATGTATACCAAAACGAGTGTGTAGCAAAGAAAAACACTTTCTTTTCTTCAGTAGTTTTGAGCATGGACAAATGGGATGGCGGTGGGGGGCCCTTGGGAGAAAAGCGGGGCTGACCCCGGGCCTGAGAATGGTCATGACGCCTGTGAGGGGCATCTCAGTGTCCTGGGTCTTCACAGCCGTGGAAGAACCCGGAGGTAAGTGACTCCATCCTCTGATCCTCATGGCTCTCCAAACGGCTCCATTTCAAGGGCTGAAAGCACCCGGCGTGGGCTTTCTCGAGGCACTGTCTTTCTAGGACCCTCCCCACTCTGGGATCAGAGGCCATTGCTATTCCTGTGACACAGGGGTGGCTTTGAGAGCTCAACAACGCCTGATCGAGACTTGTTGAGGAACTTCGGGGCACGTCGCAACAACCGCTGGGCCTCCGTAAACGTTTCTGTCAACTCTTTCTTCCACTGCACAAACTCCGGATCACTCTAGATGGGAACACACAAGAAGTTGGGACAGCTTCACCCATTGTGCCAACAGATGTGGAAGCCTCTGCTCATAACCAGTATCTGTGGAAACCCCCTCCCCGCCTCCAGGAAAACACACTCCATTTTTCTGCCCTTCAGTGGTGTTATTAGCTGGTGGGCACTGCAAAGACTTCCTCCAGGGTCTCCCTGCAGAGGAAGGAAAGGTACACGAACCCTTCAGACGATCTTCATGTAGCCCCACTATGAGAAGCACTGCCTTTAGTTTGCTTAGAGATTACCTTTGCTTTCTGATTTCTAATTTAATTTGCCTTCCCTATGTCCTTTTCCAAATACATTTTTCCTATAGATACGTATTTTTTATATTTTGTATCTGCATATGCCTTGTCTTGATGTCTCCTGGGTTATCGCTTTGCTCTATTTCAAACTCAGCAGCCTTTATTATCTTTGGGAGCAGTGATTAGACTGTAAGTGGACCTGTGATCATCAGGAAAACGGTCATCAGGAAAACGATCTACTGTGAGTTACTCATAGTCATTAAAAAAGTTGGGATATTTTTAAATTTGGAGGCTCTTCCTCTTTTTCATAAAAAATTCTTATGACATACATCTATATACAAAAGAATAAAATATAGGTGTTGCGTTTTAGAAAGAATATTAGTGAGCACCTGTACCCCCCTCCCCAGCTGACGAAATAGACTTTATGAATATTTTGAACACCGTCTGTGTGCCTCCTGAATGGCGACTGCTCCTTAATCCCTCTCCAAGATAAACACTTTCACATATTTGGTGTTTCTCATTTCCTGATAATTTTTAACATATATATATATATACATGTATATACAGTAATAAATATATACAGAAATACCTTGGTTTGCGAGCATAATTCATTCCGGAAACAAACTACTCGTATTGCAAGAAATTGCTCGTTTACCACGTTAAAATGTATTGGAAACGTCTGCTCATCTTGCGGAACACTCGCAAACCAAGTTACTTGCAATCCAAGGTTCCACTGTATATGTGTATATATATATATATAGATAGATAGATAGATAGATAGATAGATATTATGTATATGTTTAATATTAATTTTTTTACATTTTTAAGAACCAAATATAAACGGAATCTAGAGTATTAATTTTTCCACAAATATTTTGTTTACTCCACATCCTCACCTACACTTGGTATTGTGATAGATGTGAAATGATATCTCACCATTGTCCAAATCTGCATTTTACTGATTATCAGTGAAAAATGGGGAGGGGAGAGTCTGCGAGGAAGTACAGGTATGACCCATTAGAATTTTACTTTGTTTCAGAAGGGACAGATATGTAGAAAATGAGGGCAAGTAAAAAGAACAAAAAGTCTCATTTAATAAAAAAATACATCTAAAGGGAAAAGAAAGATCAGGGGGTAGCTATACTATATTCAAGATAGTTTTTACATTTTTCCGAAGATAATATGAATGGCCAACAGGTACATGAAAAGATGATGCTCAACATCACTGGTCATTGAAGAAAATGCAAATTAAAACCACAATGAGATACTACCTCATGCCTGTTAGAATGGCCATCATCAAAAAGATAAGAGATAACAAGTACTGGCGAGGATGTGGAGAAAAGGGAACCCTGTGAACTGTTGGTGGGATTGCGAATTGGTGCAGCCACTATGGAAAACAGTATGGCGGTTTCTCAAAAAACTAAAAATAGAACTAGCTAAAAATATGATCCAGCAATTTCACTTCTGGGAATATATCCAAAGGAAATGAAAACACTAACTAAAAAAATTTCTGCACCCCCATGTTCATAGCAGCATTATTTATAATAGTCAAGATACAGAAACAACCAAGGGTCCACTGATGGGTGATGGATGAATGAATAACTAACACACACACACACACACGGATATTATTCAGCCATAGAAAACAAGGAAATCCCGCCATTTGGGACAACACTGATGGACCTTGAAGGCATTATACTAGGTGAAATAAGTTAGACAGAGAAAGACAAATACTGTATGATTTCACTTATATGTGGAATCTAACCAATCAACCAGCAAACAAACCCACCAAATTCATAGAAAAAGAGAGAATATTTGTGGTTACCAGAGGTAAGTGGCGGAGAGAAGGGGTATTGGAGGAAGGTGGTCCAAAGGTACAAACTTCCAGTTATAAGTACTAGGGATGGAATGTCCAACATGATGACTGTAGTTAACACTTTGTATGATATACAGCAAAGTTAAGAGAGTAGAACCTAAGCATTCTCATCACTAGGATTAATTTTTTCTCTCTTATTTTATCTATATGAGATGATGGATGTTAGCTAAACCTATGTGGTAATCATTTCGTGATATATGTAAACCAAATCACCATACTGCATACCTTAAACTTATACAATGACTATGTCAATTATTTCTCAATTAAACTGGAAAAAGAAAGAAAAATGAAATAACTCAAGTCTATAAAATATACATGAGTTTTGACAAATTTAACACACCTTCACATGCAGTAATGAAGTAATTAAATACCTTTCTGTATCTACTACTGGATAACTCTTTAAATATATCCTACATACACACACACACACCCAGTGACCCAGTAGAAGTGTTTAGGAATGGAATTTGGGCTATAATAGAACTTTGGTGAGAGAAACATGGAATTTCCCCTCTGAGGAGTAACTTTGGTATCTCACATTTATTTAGAAATATACACCTCAACCTTAAGCATGCTGAAAGATCTGTAAAATTCTCTAACAAATAAAATTCTAGGCCCCTATGAAATATTGGACAGACTTTCCAGATAGGGTAATTAAATTATTTCACATACTTCCTCCTGACGTGTTCTAATATTTGCATCTTTAAAAATAACTTAATTTGCTGAAAACTTTGTACCTTAGGGCTTTCTTGCTAAGTTTGTAAGTCACAAAGCACGGAGTAAGAAAATGTTTTATAACCAGGCAGCCATGTTTATGTGTATATAAAATTGTTCTAAATTTCACGTATGAAAAAATAATGAAAACTCACCTCACATTGCAAGACGAATTGCTTCCCTCCTTTTATCCTCAACAAAATGCATTTTTTGTCTTTAACCTGAGTTTCTTCCACAGACAGAATCTGTTCCATTGTCAGTAAATTTTGCTAATCATAAAAATAAAAATTATAAATTACTTCAAATGATTTCATGATTTCTTCAAGTTCAATTAATCAATAAATAATATCCAAAACTATCAGCTTAGGAAAAGTAAAAAAAAAAAAAATTCGGTAGTTTTCTTTAATGATCTACTAGAAGTGGGGTGGGGGAAATAGCTATAAAGAAAACATACAAAATTTCAAATTATAACATCTGCAAAGAAAGAAATGTCTCTAGAAGGCCAAATAGCAAAGCTGTTCCCTCAACACAGAATTAATTTTTGAGTGACTCTGAATCACATGTACGCTTTTTGTGTCAAGCACTCATCTAAATTCCTATCAATAAAGTTGTAAGGGAACGCTGAAGCGCTATCTACAATTGACATGAGCCAGCGGTATGTGGCTGAGTTTTAACACAGCAGCTCAGTACGCGCTTGGTCACGGTTAGCTTAGAAGCTAACGCTATTTTGATAATCTCAAAATGATGTTATAAATACAGGTAACATCCTTAAAAGATTGTCACACTAGGTCTATAGCATTATTGCTTACGGTGAATGCTGCAGTGTCATGACTACCTTACCATTTTAGGTTTTTTGGGGTAAATACTCCAGGAATCCTAAATGAAAAACAACACCATCATAAACGCTCACATTTGCGTTTTCCTTATTTTTACCTACGAGTCCACGCGTGCATATTATGTAGCTTCTCTACATAATAACTACACACTACACTACACTACAGAGAACACTACACACTGACTGTTAAAACCAGGATAATTTATTGCATCTGATGTTAAACAAAGGAAGATTTTTTTTTTAATTTAGTTTTTGAGTATCTTGAAAAGTGGGACAACTAATTGCCTTTCAATGTGCACAACAGCAACTTACCAGTAGATAGTATAATAAATGCATAGTGTGCCCAGAGCCACTCATTATCTGGAATTATACATAATAATAACAATAACATACATATGAATTATAACTCAGGTGCTGAGTCTATATATACACATATATATTACAATATGTATTATATGATATATATTATATAATACTTACCAGCACCTGTGTTATAATCAGGACCCCCCCTCCCAACGAGTCGTATTAATCATGACTCAGATCCTAGATGTATTAATTTTTAGAAAATGCCTTCCATGGTATTACTAATAGTGAGAAGATCTCATCTGTTTATAAAGAATGTAGTAACATGCAATAGCAATCACTCGTAATTAAATAGCAACTTCACCAACAGGGGTTTAAAAAATGCATTCCAAAATCAAATAAACAAGATTCGGGGTTCCTTCTTCCACACTGCTGACCACTGGAGAACGGACGGGCAGTGTTCCGGCACCACCAACACAGCAACTGTGTTTTTACCACGTGGGGCCACTGTGCTGCTTAGCTGGTCCCCAGTGACTAACCATTCCCTCCCCAGGAGTAGAAGCATACCTCCCACCTGGGCTGGAGCCTTCCATGGGGACAAGCCCTGGGCTCCTCACAGAGCGGGCGCATAATAACTGCTGCCTGACTTACAGCGTGGATTGGAAATGTCTTTTTATCTTGTTCACCAGCATTAGCTCTCGCAAGGACCTGATAGGGCTGCTGTATCTTCCTGTCTATTGTAGAGAATCCACTTAGAATTTTCCGACAAGGTGGAGACAAAAGGAAGTATGGCTTGGTGACCTCCCCGCAGCACCAAGCACCCGGCTAACATCACTTACCTTGTTTCATTTGACGCCAGCAGTATAGCCGGGACATTGAGAGCACAGGGAGGCCCCGGTCGGAATCACTCACTCCCGGCTGCCTCGCTGTTGTGGGGACCACACTTTCCCTCTCTAAGCTCTGGTTCCCCTCTTTAGAAAATACGAGCTGGACCCTCAAAGGTTGGCACACATTAAATGAGGTGTTTGTGTGTTTTTTAACAGCAGCGGGTCAAAGATAAATATGCAAAAGCTGCGGTAGTTATAATTTCTATTTCTCCCATTTTATAGATGGGGAAACTGAGGCTCAGAGAGTCAGCATAATGCACTCAGAGTCTAAGCAGTGGATTTAAACCCTCTGTCTGACTCCAAAGTTGTAGCATTTTCCTCCTTTTTGATCTACCCAACCGCTTTCCAGCCTTCTTCAAACCTGTCTGCTTTTACCTGTTTCCAGATATTACAAAATCCTTCCTTGACTCAGAAGTTTAAAAGTTACAGTATGAACATTAAAATCTCATGCATACAAGTTAAAATTGATACACAGGGCTTAGGAGGCTATTTTACAAAACATGCCAGCAGGATGAAATGACCATATGCTTGGTAATTAGGTGTCAGACTTACTCGTGAGTCTCCCTCTCCTCTCCATTCAAGTCTGTTTGGAAAGAGGTAAAAATATCGACGCTGCCACTGGGTCAGAAACGGGTTCCCCAGCTTCAGCATATATCCGTGCATAATGCAGTCTTTTCCCAGAGCGTAATCTGAGGAATATAAAATAAGTTAAATAGGCTCTGAAGCAGAATATCTATATCATTCTCAGAAAGAAAAGAATCCCACTTAATGGAAAAATCAAGTCTATCAATATAACACGTTACAGAAATCATTATTTCAATTTTTAAATGCATGTGAACTGGGAATCTAATGAGCAGCGGTTTCTTCAGCTGTCTCTCTACTAACACATTAAATGGTTGTTTCTCAATTTGCTGATATATTCATGATCATGTTCATTTATTGCTCTGAGAGCACAAACATTTGTTCTCAAACTATTTTTTTCATTATGTATAATGAGAATTGGAGAATGGAGAGTAATTAAATTCAAGCTATGCCCCAATTACCTTTGCTTCTCTGTGGAAGTGGGGCTCTCCCTTTAATCTACCTTTTATTTTATAAGTAATTAACAGAGTGAGGATTTTCTTGTCCAAGTCAGCCAAAGCAACACAAAGATCAAAAACTGTTTATTCCTTGACTTGGGTTACATTTATCCCTGAAATATATGGTTATGTAGAGAGACCAAGCTAATTCACTCTCATGTTACCTTATTACCTTTTTATAGTGAAGTACTGACTCTTAAAAAAAAAAAAAAAAAGGTTAACTTTAAATGCTTGCTTTGCCTTCATGAAAAGCTTGGGTGATTGTGCTAAAATGATTCATTCACTCTTTCCTTCCTTCCTTCCTTCCTTTATTCACTCATCCAACAACTATTAAGTGAGCGCTTAAGTGCTGGGCATGTCCACACATTCTGGGGTTCAGCATAAGTAAAAGAGAAAAAACTCCTGACTTCCAGGAAGCTTCCGTTCTAGTGGGAGATTCAGACATAAACAAACAAGCAATGCCCACACTGTGCCACAGGGACACGCCATTTGTGGCGGATGGAACCAAAGAAGAATGGAGCCAGGGAGGGGCGGCCATGATGGCGTGAGCTTCCTTTAGGCGCCACTTTAATGGAAAAATGTGTCTGCATTTCTAAAGTATATTTAAAGTCTAAGTCTTGCATTTTTACTTCAGGGATCTAAGCCTAGCCTATACTGTTCTGTAAAGGTGACTTCTGAGATCTTCCACCGAGACCTCATTATGCCCAAATTAATTACTTAACTATGAAGATAAATTCATTAATTTGTTTGACGTTCCAATTATAGCTCTAATAAAAAGGAAATACTTCAGCAAGATCATTTTTTTTTTCTGGGTCTAATTTGTCAAGATTCTGATGACATCATGGCCCTCCCTGGAGCAAAATACCATTGATAGAATTCCTTGTGTTAAACCTGACTGTGCAAACACAGTCCAGAGTGATCTCAAAGGACGTGTCCTCTACAGAACCACTTAAAAATAAAGCCCTTTCCCTGCAGAATGGAGGTAAGCACAGTTAAAGGACTGGAATATTCCCTTGGTGCACTCAGGGAACATCTATATAGGAGCAATTCATCCAGGATGGAGAACACTTTTCTCAGTAGATGATAAATGCTACTGGGAAACTGGACAAGACCAATGAAGTCTCAAGACGGTCCCTGTAAAGTAATCTACTCATAATAGAAAGAAATTGTTTCTGGTCCTTCTTATTATAGAAAGTTAACCTCAAAACATCTTCGCTTAGAGGTAAAAAGAAATGATACCTTACCATAATCATCAACCACAATAAATTTAAATATCCAAAAGTCGTAAAGCCTTAGAAAAATCAAGAGTGACAATATTTGGTGAATTAAGAATGATGGTCTATTTAATACTCAGTGTTACAGAGTGTACTTTGGAGATCCTAATAGGGCACTTAAATATTGCAAATGAAAATATGGTTTGGCGAGTCTTTAGTGCTGTTTGTAATATAAATGTATATTTATAAGTATGTTCATATCATTCAGCAAGTGAAAAGTAGTGAAATGGTAAGCTCCTCACCAGTACCACTACATACTTTGCAGGGCCTAGCACAAAATGAAAATGCAGGCCCCTTGTTCAAAACTTACTGAACCCTAATCCTGTCCCTAATCCTAAACCTAACCCTGTCCCTAACCCAAACACTAACCCTAACCCTGTCCCTAACCCTAACCCTAACTCTGTTCCTATACCTAATCCTAACGCTAACCTTGCTCCTAACCCTAACCCAAACAGTGTCCCTAACTCTAAACCTAACACTTAACATGTCCCTAACCCTAACCCTGTCCCTAACCATAACCCTTACCCTAATCCTGTCCCTTTCCTAACCCTAAACACACACACACACACACACACACAAATTATTAAGACTGTCACAATGGTGACAGCAGAGCATTAAACCAAGTGAGGTGCCTTATGAGACAGCAAACGCCTGTGACGCTGGTACATTCCTGACACCGTAATATTCACTCTTCAACTTCCAGATTCACCTCCAAACACTCCAAGATAAGAGGACATACTAACAAAATGCCGCTGTCTGTCTCAATCCATTTTTATTTATGTGTTGGCTAAAGACTTTGAAATGTTATACTGAACTTGACCAAGCCGATAAAACTAAAATAACTGACAGCACCCCCCCACACACATACACCGTCTATTGGAAAGTACTGTGTGACCCACATGCTTTGCCAGCTTTATAAGAAATTTTGAAAATGCACTGCAGTAGAAATATCTTGAGAGACATTAGTATCTTACCTTCTTCATGGCCAAGTTGCTTATTTTTAGCTCTCTTCCTGGCCTCGATTTTATCCGTGTCTGCGTTTACTGCTTCATAAACAGTTTCCGCAACTTCCTGCTGCCAACGTTCAGAGATAACCAAAGGGAAGTTCTTGTAGAGTTCTTGGTCACAATCAAGGAGCTTATTATTTTAAGAAATTGAGATAGTTATGATTTAGCAAACTTACAAAGGCAACAGATTCAGAAGCATCATAACTATATGCAAGAAGGTAATAGATGACGGCATATGATCATTCAGAATAACTGATTAGTTGTCATAAATCTCAAACTAATGACCATCAAGCAACCAGCACCCACAAATGGTTATAGCTGACGAGCCCTTCACATTCAGTCCTGAGTCAGTTCACCCCATTCTTCTAAACTACGTTGGTACAATTTTGCCTATGAAAGGTAACATATACAGGGTTTTATCTGAAGTACTAAGAGGTTCTGACAATAAAAATTAAAATTTCAATTATGGTGACAATCTTTTATTTATATTGGAAATAGACTCCTGTAGTTTTAGAAACAATTGAAAGGGAGGAGCTAGGAGTGTCTTCTAACCACCTTCAATTAATCTGAAAAGTGAGAAAAACAAAAGGTAAACTTGGCCGAATTTACCACTCATACCATGAACCTTCCAGCATATCCAAACTTCACAGTATCATCAAATGTATAAGCATAAAGCTCAAGAAACATGGAGAATTTAGGCAACTTAGCTTGTAAAAGGTGCTGTAATAAAAATTACTTAATGATAGCATTTCTCCTCCAAACTGTTACTCAAAATTCTTCATTCTTCCCCCTAAATAAGGCTGCACTCTGAAAGTAAGCCAAAAGAATGGTTTTATGGACCAGAGCTACGGTTTCATGACAGAAAGGCTAGTTATTCTACTGAGAATAGCGCGTGTCCTTCAAAAGCACAAACCCCTTTAGAAACTTGCTCTGCTCACTCCTTTGCCTGAGAGATAAGAACAAATGGTCTGTGACCTAAGATGGTTTAACTTAAGATGGGGTGAATGCAATAGGCATTCAGGAGAAACTGTATTTCAAATTTTGATTTTTGGTCTTTTCTAGGACTGGCGATGTGCGGTATGCTACTCTCTCAGATGCTGACAGTGACGGCAAGATGGTTTTGCCCCACTGCAGGCGAACATATGTGTTCTGAGCACGTTTAAGGTAGGCTGGGCTAAGCTATGATGTTCTGTAGGATAGGTGTATTACACACATTTTCAGCTTACAGTATTTTCAACTTATGATGGGCTTATCAGGACAGGACCCCATCGCAAGTCGAGGAGCATCTGTACTGGGTAGATATTATAATAGGCAAGTTACTTAGAAGGAAAAGGAAGAGCAAAAAATGAGGTGCTGGCCCACAGACCTTGAGCAAATCAATGAAACACCGGAAGAATGTGTACTGGTGTCCCTCCACCTACTCTTACTGACCTATGATGATCATGTGCTGATTTGAAGATCACTGATTCATGGAAACTTTCCTCTTTCAGTTTTCATCAGATGTCCCAACTAGGCCCAGAGCTGACATCCTCAGCTGTTTGAGTGTGAGCACAAGTGGCTGCGCACACTCATATGTGTGTGTGTGTGTGTGTGAGTGTGAGAGAGAGAGAGACTGTGTGTGTGTGTGTGTGTGTGTGTGTGTGTGTGTGTGTGTGTGTGTGTGTGTGTGTGTGTCGGGGTGTTGGAGCAGCAAGGCCGGAAGAGCTCCCTGTGATTTGGGACACTGAGACAGATCCTAAAGAGTTTGGTAAAGGTAAAAGTAAAAATCACTTTTTTTGCCAAAAAAACTCCTTTCCAAAGTAGTTGTTCTGAAATGGTCAAACTCTGGTTTACATACAAACCTTTCCACCTCCTATAATTTCAAAAGCCTTGAAAATTATGGCTTGGCCTATGTTGTTTAAAACGACTAAAACACAGAAAAAAATTTATATTTATATGTGAGGTTTTCTTTTTTTAAGAATAATGTATTATTTGGGCTGCTTTCAGAAAGAATAGTTTCTTAAAGTGCAGCTGCCCCGGTGGGACGAGGCCGCCCTGGGACCAGCACCCGGGCTCTGCGCCTCCAGCTATGCGCTGCCACACACACGCCCCTTCCTGTTGTAAGTGTGCGCATTCTCAGCTCTTGCTCAGGAAGAACCCAAACCACAATGACAGAAGCTACTAGTGTAAGAGTCAACCACATGCGAGGAGGCTTACACGGGTTATGTCATTTATACTCAGAGAAGTCTTTGTAATGAAACCAGTCACCTTAGAGGGGAGAAAAGCAAAGTTCATGAGGTTACCTAAATGGCCCCAACTCACTCAGCTAAGAGCGCAGATCTGAGCCCACTCCACATGAGTGCAAAGCCCAGATGATGGTTTACAGAATTGGATGGGTGAGAATCTCTTTCTAACATTAGACATTTTCGTGGGCTCCCACATCATAAGCGTTTTACTTTAAGCATCCTTCAATGGCGAGTAGTCCATGACACACTTCTGTTGTGACAGCAGTAATCCTTTTAGATAACTTTGTAAATGGATTGTTCCCCAAAGCACTGCTGGAGGCTGGGACTTACACATCTAACTCATAATATCTGTCCAGACTACAAAAGATGCCCAGTGGTCACTGCTGTCCCCCGGGACAGCCAATGCTCCAGACCACAGGGGTGGCCTTAACTCTCTCCACGCCCCCTTCATCTAACCTCCTGCTCCTGGGAAGATGATGTCCCACCTGTAGGACTCAGCCAACTGCCCCCCCCCCAGGTTCCGACTGCACTGGGCCCTCCTGCTGCTCTCACTGGCTGCTCTCCTTCCGCACCATCGTCACATCTTCCAGCTACTTGGCCACCCTTTCTGTCCCCATATCCTATGTGCTTCCAGCTCTGTATGTCTCTAGTGACAGCTCCTGCCGGACCCCAACATTTCACTTGTCAGTCTTTTATCTACATCTTGCAACTCTGTGTTAACAGGGCTGCAGTCTTCTAGAGGGGAAGTTACTTGGTGGGAAAAATGAAGCGCATACATGCAGGCAGCTGGGGGGAGACAGGGGCCATCTGGGAGAAACCGGGGTGATCCGAGGGGAAGCTGTGAAAGGGGGGCAGACGAGAGCTTGACCTGTAGTGATACACTATGAACTTTGCAGCCTAAACAGGAGGATTTTCTCTCATGACTCACCCGCTGTAATTATATCTTATCTACATGGAAAATAATGATATGAACAAAAGTTTGAAAAATACAGAGGATACTATTAAAAAACCAGTGATTATTTCACTTTTGATTGACACGAGCAACACGATTCATGCTGTGTGCTCCTTTCATCCTAACACAGAGAGATCAAAACACTGAGAAGAATTAAAATGACTGGCTCTTGGGCACGAGAAGCATGTTTGCTTTCACATGGTTGTCGTTTCTTGCTTTCTACACATTCGAGTTTTATTTCAATCATAAATATATTCAAATCAGTCAAAATGTGACCATTCTTCAGTTTTTCAAACATAAAGTAATTAGTCCAAAGAAAGCTTTCATAGTTTCTAATTTAGGTCCTTGACGTCTACATTGTTCAAACATGTAGATATTCGTTTATAAGTTACATCCCACAAACAGACCAATACTAAGTTGATCGTGATGTTTGATTTCCAATAAAAAAATCGTTCTACCCTCCGAAAAAATTAAAGAAGCATCACATGTGTACCTTGATGCCTTTGGTATCCTCTTCATCAAACGAGCCGATGTCAAAGGCGTCGGCAGCGTTGACTTCTCCCCGGGGTGGAATCAAGGGTGGGGTGTACTGGAAGACCCGAGAAGGGAGGTTCAGTTACCAGATGACCTTAGAGCCCTGTCCCAACCTACCTTTCTATAAAGAAAGCACAGGGCAAGATCTCAGCACGCACACTCTGTGTAGCACTGCGGCCCAGCTCGTAAAAATCGCATTATATGTGTCACAGATGAGCTTGTGCACTGGATGGCCTCAAAGGAAGACCCCAGGTTGTAGGCAAATTTAAGGAAGAGAAAAGAAGACTCATGTCCACTCTTAAATAACTTATTATGAAATGCAATGGATTCTCAGGACTGCACATTCCACCAGCTCAACCTTAAGAAGGCACGTTCTCTACAGGTGATGGAGGCACCACCTTCCACCTACTGGAGCCTGAAAGTACCACAGGGCAGGCAGAACGCTCCACACCCACAAGGGTAGGGTCCTGAGGCTGGTGCCCAGGAACCAGAGCTCGCTCTAATTCTAATCAGGCGGGACTAACAGATCATGATTCCTCCAGTATGAATTCTCGCAAAAGCGAGTCCAAAGCTGATAAAGCAACATTTAATTAAAAAAAAAAAAGACTTCAATTTGTGGTATTTTCCATATCAATAAGAATATAAAAATATCTTAAAATAAGGAAAGGGAATTATGTTGATATACAATCATGCTAACTCTTAAATTATGTGGTGCTGGGTTATAAAGTATATGTAAGCCTATGACATTTTCATATAGAAAAATATAAAAATAGTCACTTATTGAGATAAGTCAAGAGGATGACCTAAAGCTGAAAGAGTCTCAATTATATGGACATTTAAATTGGCTAGATAATAGCTCTTTTTCACCATTTATTAATTTATATAGAAGATATTTTCAAAATGTTTCAACGAGAGAAATGAAGAGAGAGAAGAAGTCCCCGAAGGAGCCAGCCACATGGCCACAATGGATAGAAGAGCAAGAAGGACACTGTGGACAGGGAGACCTTGGGGACAGAGGCAGGAAGTGGAGACGGAGACGGTGGTGCCCAGGGCGGGACCCGGAGGGAGTACCTTTTGTAAGTAGACATGTTGCCAATCAATGCCTTTGAAAAAGCTGTGTTCTTTTACTTCCTGTGCACTATGGAAGAGAGAGAGAGAGTCATAACAGCAGTGAGTATGTATTTGGAAATCGAAGAAATATTTTGCAAAAACTATCTCCCGTTAAGCACATAAAGGAACAACTATTAATATTTCCAGTTTCTTAAGACGCGAGTAAAATATGCTTCACAGCAATGCAGGACACTGTGATATTTAGAAATACTGCACGCCGAAGCTAGGAATACTATCCCATATGATAATTTACTTGGGATATTTATTCCAGTTTAGGAGAACCAAGGAGTTTTCACAGATTACTTATATAATATAGAATATAAATATATAACATATAATATATAAAATATATAAAATACAGTAAAACCTTGGATTGTGAGTAACGTGGTTTGTGTTTCACAAGACGAGCACACATTTCTAATACATTTTAACTTGGTAAACGAGCGATATCTTGCAATATGAGTAGCTTGTTTCCGGAACGAATTATGCTCACAACCCAAGGTATTACTGTATATATATAATATATATATAATAATATATATTTCCAAGCAACTAGAAATACCCCCGAGAGAAGACTTCTGGTTCAAGTCAGTGATTAAGCTCAGACGTGCAACTTCGTTCCTTCCCAACAATCACCAAAATGACCAAAGGGCAACGTGTAGGCAAAGAGTGACACACGACCATCAGCAGACAAGATGGGAGTGAACGGAGGGGCAGTGACTGATGGCAAAATGTAACAGAGCTCGCGCCCGGCGGACGGAGATGCTGAGCTCCAGGCTCATCAGGGTGTGTATGTGGGAGAAGACAGAATGTTGGATGGAGCTGTGTATATGGAACCCTTGACACAAACACACATGCACACACACATACGCATGCATGCACACACACACATGCGCGCGCGCGCGCACACACACACACACACACACACACACACATGCTTGCACATACGTACACCATGCTTTCGTCCTCCACATCCAACCCCAAACCTGCAGCTAAGTATATATTCTAATGGGGGGGAGGGGAGCCTATGAAAGGTTCTACTTTTAAAAATTAAACTTGCTAAAGATTTTGAAAAGCAATCAATAAAAGGGTTGGAAATTTAAGCTATTAGAAAGTAAAAGAGAATCAAAGCAAAGATGCAGGTAATGGACAAGGTCAGGAGCATAGATGGCCATCTTAGAAATCCTAACATCCATCTCCAGGCGTTCTAAGAGCTAACCAAGGAAATGTCAGATAAATAAAATAAGCTGGAGAACACAAGTCTTCTAAGTAAAAGGGACTCTAAGTGGCTGACAGATGAGGGATAACCGAGTTCCATGACCAGCACTAACCGTTCGCTTGTATGTGATAAAGCAGTATCTTCAAAGTTCTGGGGGAAATTATGATCGATTTAGAATTCTATATCCAGCCAAAATATCAATCAAGTCTGAGGACAGCAGGAGGACACTTTGGATAAGTAGGGACGCAGAGCTGACCTCTCATTCCCGCTCTATTAGGAGTTACTTGAGAACATGCTCTAGCTAATGCGGTGTGAAAAGGGGCTCAGGAAAGCAGGCAGCATGGGATCAAGTAAATAACTAGCAGATTCAAACCAAGAGAGCAAAAACAGGGAGGAGGTGGATAGAATGATGCTGATTAGCAGAAACAGAGCACTCGGTTGTCACTGGAGCTGGTAGGTTTGAGGGTAAATCAAAGTCCACACATACCTATAGATACCTCACACATACATCATATATGAACTTAAGGTTCATTTCCAGGCTATGTAGAAACTGTGCAGTCAACACACTTCTGGTGTCACACAGTATAAATACTACTTATTCATTTGCAACCTTTGAAATTAGCCTATGTGCACAGCACTAAGATTGATCTGATTTTGCAAAACAGGGAGTAAATAGTATCAACTCGACGATGTAAAAATCAAAATTAACAATGACAAAAACTAGTCAGTGAGAGAGATGGTGACAATGAAAGACAGGAATGCCAAAACCTTCATTTTATAATGTGGGGAAATCAAGAGACACAGTTTATAATTGATGGAACGAGGCACAACTGGGTAAGTATATAAGTTAAAGCTACAAAGGTTAAGCAAAAGAGGAACGAAAAACAGTGTTTCAATTCTTTTGAGAAGGTGGTAGTAAGGGAGGGCTCTGTAAAAAGTAGAGGAGCAAAATCTTCATCTATTAAAGTAAGAATAGGTAATTTCTCAAATTAAGAAATAAGGAAATATACATGTAACACATTATTTAATTATCTATATAATACACATAGAATATGTATAAAATACAGAGGGTGCCAAAAAATGTACACATATTTTAAGAAAGGAAAAATAACTGTATTAAAATTCTAATACTCAATATATATTGATAACAAAAGATGAATACAAGTCATGTGTATACATTATTTTGGCCGGTATATACATATACATATGCTATTCTAACATACACATATGCATGCATGTATGTGCCATACACACATATAACATGGTTAAAAGCTGTTGCTTATGTAAAGCAAGCCTGGGAATGAAAAGAAAAGCAAACCTAGGGGTGGGGAGAAATAGGGGAAAGGTCTGTTTTAAGACTTCTATAAGCTTTCCAGGTATTACTGGTTTGTTTTGGGGTTTTTTTTGCGGTGGGTAGGGGACAGATAGAAAACATGTATAAGATGGCAGTTAGTCAGTTATACATTAGAGAAAAAAGGTGAAAACCTGATCCAATATTAACCTGCCGTAACTACAAATATAATCATTAGTAAAACGTATCCAAATGAACTACAAAGTATCAGAATTCATTTCTACCGCCTACATGATGGATTTTCAAAGTTGAAAAGTCAGTGACTCCTTCAACTTGTTAATTACAAACCACATGAGACAATATACACAGTTCCCCTGTGATTCCCCTACTGCCCCCGAATCAAAATGGAAGATTGTTTCGGACTAGGAATGATTTTTGATACACTGAAAATGACTGTTTTGCTTTCCCGGTGGAGTCTGACAGGCAGAAACACCAGCCTACCCGCCTCCGTGGCAGCCAAGCCGCTTACTAACGTCTCGCTGCAGCAAGCCCTCCAGGAGGGACTTCAGTTCTGGGCAGAAGGTGTCTGGAAGTTCCACATTCTGGGGGGAAAAGAATACAATTTCAAAAATGCACCCACTGCAAACGGTGCCCTCATACCCAACCAGGCTCACAGGCCATTGCTTAAATAAGGATCGTGTTAAAAATTACAGACTCATCACGAATTCACATTTACTCTAAAGAAACAAAACGGTTACTAAAATAATTTTCAAAGCCAATCCGCAGGCTGGGGCCGGGGAGAAGGATGAGAAGGGCCACTTGCTCTTCTGCATCTCAGTCATTCCCCTTTTATTTCTTTAGTTTTGTTCTCGATTTTCTATATCTTTCTCTGACTGACTGTTAGCAAATCTTGATTTTTTTTTTTTTGCCTTGCTGTCTAGTTCCAATAATTTTTCCTTTAGAAATTCTTCTAGGGACTATCTCTTCATTTATTTAAGAAAGCACATTTTTTATATTGGTTGTAATGGAAACACGAACGGGAATAAAAATAGAGTTTTTAATCTCTTTACCACGGTGAGTGTCATCCGGTCTATTTCATGCTTATCTTTGGTTTTATGTTGTCTGAAAGGGCTGTGGCTGTGGAAATAAAGAACATTCTATTATAATGTGGTATCAGCGAACTTAGCACATATCATTGACTAATATTTGGGTAAAGTATTGTGTTCTGTCACTGTTCATTCAAAACTATAGAAAGACAAAAGCCATAAGCATTTATTATTTCCAGAGAAACTGCTGATCAGATATGTTGGGTCCCAAAAAAGCAAGGCTTATGCTTATCTGAATGGCCTCATTCTCTCATCAATGAAGTCATGCCACTAAAATATGCTTTAGCAAATATATTCCACATGATGTTTTAAAATGTCATTAGGAAAAATTAATTAGCCAACAGGTAGTCATGAAAATGAAGGTTATTTATACAACATTTGTCACATTAGTGTTTGAGATAATGATTTTCATATGATTTTTTTTTCAGTAAAATGGTTATTAGTCCCTCAAACAACCCAAGGAACTGCAGTCAAACCAAAACATGACCAAGATGAACACGCTTCTGCCCCAGAAACCAGTCATTTTAAGCGATGCACTCCTTTGATGATAAGAGACAGACTAACCGCCATGCCCCCAGACTTCCAGTTTGAGGCCACTCATTCCCGTTTCACTTATGGAAACCCCAGACGTAAGAGTCAGAAAATCGGGGTTCAAGTTGTGAAGTGGCTGTTTACTGGCTGTGAGCCAGTCATGTAAACCTTCAATATCAATGTTTTCATCTGTAATGGGGCAGAATGCCACATACTTCACAGAAATGGTGAAGAGAAAACAAAAATAATGTCTATACTAGTAGCCAAGACAAGGGCAGTACACAGTAGGTATCTAATATGGAAATCCTTTGTGAAATTAATAAAGATGAATCTTTATAAAACAAATGTCTTGATAAACTCTGTAAAACAAATTATTCTTACTCTTTGCCATGTTTTTGAACTCTGGGAAAGCTGGTTTTTAAAGGAAATCCTGTCGTTAAAAGAGACCAGTAAACATGTAAATTAGAAAACCATGGCCTTATCTATTCATTTGAAAATTAAAGAAGAGATATATATGATTGAGTTTTCTTAATAGTAAGAAATGCCTATAAAATTACTAATCCTCTAGATTTACTTATAAGGCACATGTAACAAAACCTGAGGCAAGATATTATGTAAAATATTTTAAAGTTATCTCTATAAAATGGGTTGGAATGTTGAATACATAAACCAATGGTATTTAGAAAAAAGAACTAAAATTCCACTTATCATGGCACTACCATTTACTGCTACTGATCGGGCCACCCTAGCTAATTAGTTAACTTATGCATTGAATCATCTCTTCATGAGATTATCCATTTCATAGCATTTTATTATCTTAAACATTTAAATTTTCATTTTGTACAAGAGAGGGCACTCTAACACTTTATTTTCTTTTGTATGATACAAAGTAATTTTCATCTCTTGAAAATACTCGTTTGAAAACAAACAAACCTAAACTAGGTGATTTCGTTCCAAGCAAATGTATGCTAATCTTTGAAACAGATTATTGATTGGAAATATTCTTTTCATCCTAATTGTTTCCAAGGAGAAAAATGTAAAATTACTGCATTTCAAAAGCAAATAGGCTATAACAGCAAACAATATCTATCTGTTCTTTACAGGATATTAAAATTAAAAAAAATAAAACACACAACTTGCGTCATTCTTTTATGCAAAATACACAGCGACATTAACACGTTCATGGTTCAAGAGAAAAGGAATAAAAGTTTATTAGTCTTACTAAAACCTCTGTCTCTCTGCTTGACAAGCTGCTTCCACCCTGCCAAGTTCCATTATGTATAAAAAGGGGTTTTTATTCATTATAAAGATCCTCTTCGTTTTGGCAGATGCTTCCGATGTGGCTCCTGTGTGCAATGCCAGGGGACGCCATTCCCACTCTTGACCCTGTATACTTGCCTGCCTCTGATGCCGGAAGGAAGGGCTGTGCCCTGACACTAGTGGAGAAGGACTGCTGTGTTCTGACAGAAACGCTCTGTGCTAAATTTAAGAAGTCTTTCATGAGACCAGAAGGAGGCTTGCGAGGGAGCTGGAGTTCATGTTAGCGGTGCCAAAACCATTTCTAGCACATGGGCCCGATCACTACAAATCCCATTTTATACATAGAGCTCTCCCCTGTCGGACTCGGGAAGAAATGATAGGAAGCGCACTGCAGCTTTTCAATTCTGCGCGGTAGCGCTGAAAAAGTTTGGTCTTTCAAGTCAAAATCTTGATGCACATCTGTTTCCAATGTATTCTTGATTATTCTTTGTGAACAAAACCAAAGACTGTTTCTATTTTGGAAAATGTGAAAGAAAACCTACGATAGTAATAATCTCCATTTGCAGGGAGGCACGTGGTGCTCCCAGATCCTGTGTGATCGCAGCTGCTCCCTGAGGCTGCCTAGCGACGGGCCTGTCAACAGCTTCCAGCGTGAGCCAGGCTCTCCCAGCGAAACAGGCAGTATTCTGGCCGCATCAGGAAATGTTATGGGAACAAAATTCATGTGGGCAGTGGTCAGATGTGGCTTTTGAATTACAGATAGAGTGGGAGAGCTGCAAAGTCCCCCCCCAACAAGCTGGGAAATCGTTCAAGGTATGATAAATGATAAACACACACACACACACGCCACACACACACGCCACGCACACGGTATGTTCACAATGAAACAATGAGTTCAAAAACAATACCTTTATAATTACAATTGAATAAAAATTCCTACATCAAACATTAATTTTAGAATACCCAAAAGATTGCATATTACATCACATATGCGTTTTGAGCCTAAGCCAAGAGTTGCCAAAATATTTATAAACATTCCTTTTTTTCCCTACATGGAACAAACTCAGTAGCCTCAGGCACAGCTCCTCTCTCCCCAGGCCACCACCTGGGTGCTCCCCCGTGTCTGACACCTCCGGGGACAGACAATCAATGGTGACAAGCTTAAGATCAAGGCTATGGTCACATTGCTTCTTTCCCCTAAGAAACATCTGAAATCCAGATTGAGGCTCATGATGGCAATTCCGCACATTGGCAACGAGGACTTATCTTCATACCCAGATGCTTCCTAATGCCACGACCCCTTAATACAGTTCCTCATGTTGTGGTGACCCCCAACCATCAAATTATTTTCGTTGCTACTCTATAACTAATTTTGCTACTGTTATGAGTCGTAATGTAAATATCTTTTTGTTTTCCGATGGTCTTAGGCGACCCCGGTGAAAGGGTTGTTCGACCCCCAAAGGGGCCGCGACCCACAGGTTGAGAACCGCTGCTCTAAAGTATCTGACAAAGGCATCTGAAGTGGAAGTCATGACCAGCACCCACACGCGTGGCCTCTGAACGGCTCAGTCCATCACTGTCAGTCCTGGGATGCAAACATGTTCTCCGGCCTGGACAACTTTCTCACATCCCGCTTCCTTTCCCTCAGGCCCTGGGGTCTTATTCTAGGGTGCCAGGACAAGGCGAGGGGTGCTGGGGGGGGGTGCAGCAGAAACCGTGAGACACGCTGGTCTGTGCAAGTATTCATTCAATCACAGAAAATAGAAGCAAAAGAGACCTTCGGGACCACGGGTTCAACCTGGGTGCTCAGATGTGGGAAGAGGGGAGGAGTCTTGCTCAGAGCAGTTTCTCGTCCTCAGCGCTGCTGGCCTCTTGGGCTGGGTCATTCTTTGCTGGGGCAGTGGGGGCTGTCCGGGCATTGTAGGATGTTTAGCAGCATCCCTGACCTCTCTGCCCACTAGATGCCAGAAATAACCCTCTTCATGTTGTGACAATCAAAAATGTCTCCAGGCATTGCCAACCACCCCCAGGGTTGAGGATGAGCGCTGGGTAGTGGCTGGCACAGCGTCTGGCTCATCCCGAGGACTAACACTGTGGGTGTCGTGTGAGAGCACCAGGGTGCAGAGGGGACAGGAAGCTCCCTAAGCCTGCGCCCGGGAGGCCCTGCATTCAGGGCTCTTCCCGTCACCCTCCTGCTCTAAGTCGTTTCTGTTTGTTAGGCCCCTCATGCCGGAGAAAAGACAGCTGCTCGGGCTCCTTCTCTGCAGTATGTGAAAACGGTATAGGATGCTTCTTTACACATTTTCAAGGTTTTCCCACTTGCAACCTTGTGAGGAAGTGAAACAGGTGACAGTATCTGCTCGTTTACAGCTGCAGGGATGAAGGCGTCTGGGCACAGTCCGGTCTCCTGCAGACCCCACCACAGCACTTGGCTTCTGAAGGGCCCTGAGTAAACATCAGCTTAATAAGAACCACTGACAGTGTACAAACATTGGCTTCGGTGATGATATCATCCTCCTCCCAACTACCTTGAATAGAAACCAGCACTGTCTTAAACTCCTATCCTTCCACATCCAAACTTCCATCGGAAAATAAACAAAAAAACCCAAATCGTTGTAGCAGTGTGAGCTCTAGCTACAGTACCGCTAAGTCATTCGCCTCCTTTCTGGTCCCAGTATTGGGGGCTGGCCTAAGCGCGCCCTGCCTTTGGCTTGGGCTCTTACCCACACCTCCTGTCTCTGTCCCTCCAACGTGCCCTGCTCCGTGCAGCCGCCAGGTCCTCTTACTGAACAACAGCCCAACTATGTCCCTCCCATGCATCAAAGCCTCACTCTTTAGGGCCTCAAGAACAGAGCCCTGACTCCGCAGCGGCGATTCTAGACTACCTTCTCCTTCAGCACATCCTCCCCTCTGGCAAACAGCTGGCCCAGCATCACTCACAGGTCACCGAGGGGGAAGACACGTGCTCTGTACCATCCCCTCCCCACAGGAAACATGGCGATTCCTGCCCATCTTCCTATTGCCCTTCTAGCTTTCAGGGCCTACTTCACATACCATCTCCTGCATGAAGTCGGCCCTGCTCTTCCAAGTTAGAACTGGGGCCCCAGCTCGGTGCTCCTCAGCACACTGCTGCTGTGTGCTCCTACGTCAGCACAGCCCATCTGGCTCACCACCCTCATCATCTGCGCTCCTGCTCACGTTCCCTACGGTCTGCATGTGGCCTCCTTCCTTCCTCCCTCTCTCCTTCGCTCCCTCTCTCCCTTCCTTCCTTTCCCCCTAAAATCAAGCACAGTCTCTTGCATATTGTAGGTCATCAATACATGCTTACCAAATTTAATTTAAATCAATTAAGTAAAAAAATATTTCCCTGCTCTTTGGTTTTTAACGCCATATCCTTTCCTGTGAATCACTTGTGAACAATGCAAAGAATGGCATTAGACCATAAATCCCAGTGGGGGAGATTCATCTAATCCAATCTGTTACAACTGGAAGGACTCTTTCCAGTTCAGGTTCAACAGATGGTCACCAGACAGTGACAGGGAGCTTGCTATCTGAGGCAGGGCACACCTTCATTGGGCAGCTCCAATGCTTGAACGGACATTCTTGTGTCAAACTGGAATCCTTTCCCTCCCTAAAATGCCGACCCTCAGGGGCTACGCAGCATGAATTCCATCCCTTCGATAAGATGGGCCTTCCAACAGCTGGAGCCCCAATACTGGCTCCCCAATATTGACCCAGCTCTTCAACCTTCACATATAAGTCACGATTTCTAGCTCTTTCTCATCTCTTCTCATCCATCCCATCCCATCCTCAGGACCAGTCTCTGCATGTCTTCCTGTCGGCCAAGACTCCTTGTAACAGGAGCCACACGGAACGTTTATGCTTCAACCAAGCCTGATCAAGGACTTCACGAAGGAACGAATACCTTCCAAGTCGGCACTCCAAACCTGAATTATGGCCAAATAAGACTGAATTCACTTTCTTAGCCACAAATCATAATGCTAGATTATACAGAGTTAGTAAACAAAACCCTGGGATCTTTTCAAAATGAAGTAGTGTTTATGCCAGATTGCCCCTAATTTATATGCATGTGCATTATTATAAGCAGACAGAACAACATTAAACAAAACAAAGATGTAAACAAAGCCCTCAAGGCCAGGCTTTGCAGGTTTCCCTGTAAAATTTTATTGATTTTTTGAATCTTGAATTAATGTGTTCGACAGCTGAGCTGCTGCAGTTTTTTTGTTTTTAATCATCTCAAACATCTGTACATGTGGATTCCATATCTCTAAGCCCATGTCCAGCGAAGACCCAAGCAGAGACCACAGCGTGTCTGCTTCCACTCACAGGGCACACACGACTCCACTGGGGGGAAGGATGTCTCCTGTGGAAGTGGCTTTCTCTGGTTTGCCTTGCAGAAGCTCTCTAATTAGGTCAGCTAGTCTGATGACATGAATTAAGGCCGTCCAGGCTCCACAAATACAATAATTCAATTCAGGACCAACAGGACCTGACTCTCTAGGCAATAATACAATTTTAGTTCCCAAGTGAATACGGGGAGCAGAGGACAACTGGACTAGCACAGGCCTGAGGAAGCAGCAAGGGTGCTCAGAACTGAGTTTGGGGAGAAGATATGGAGTCCAGCCTCTTTTTGGAATGTGCGAAACATAAGAAGATGCACAGTGCTCAATGAGGCTTTCCAATGGAAAACTGAAAAGTTCAGCAAACGACCGGCCTTGTGTGTCTGCAGGCAAAACATCAGAGGGAGAATCGGACTAGGGGATTTTAATGTAAAGTGCTTTTTGTCTTTTTGTAAATGGAGAATGATCAAAACCATATTTTAAAAACTTAAGCTCTATATTAAAATTGGCTAAAAATTCTTAAAATTGATGGATTAATAATTTTTCGATGTTCAATGTGAAACTGTATTTCATTTCATCATCTTTTCACTCTATTTCACCATGTTTGATAGTTCAGAACTAAGGGCCAAGTATGACACAAATTAATTAAAAACAAACAAAAAAAATCACATAATTTAATTTTTGTGTTTTAAAAAACAAATTCATTTCAGCATGTTTAGAAATAAACGCACAGTTATCAAATGGCATCATTTTGGGTCCTCATCTTCTTCTGTAACCCTCAAAATGCTTTAAGCTCACGAGACAATCATGAGTAATGAATTTCTGGAAGAAAAAAATCCTACCTTCTTCAATTACCCACATTTTAAAATAACACTTATGCTCAAATAAGGCTCACCGATGGAAATATTTCAAAGCACTCTTTCTTTAGGTTTAACTGTGTTATAATTCCTATGTGGTACAGAATAAAAATACAAAATTATAGCTGCTATGATCACATGGGAACAAAGCTCTCACTTCTATAATATAAGGCAGAAAGATCCACAGTCATCATCTAGATGAGCATGTGGCTTAAAGATCACTGTGTGATCTAAGTTAATATTAGAGAGTCTAGTGAAGTCTAAATGGTCTTGACTTTGACCCCAGTACATGGCATGGTGATAGCATGAAACGGATGCATTTCACTCACCCTCTCAAAAGCTTGAAAAGCATGCATCCCAGGGAGAACCAGTCGGCACTGCTGTCATACGCTGTCCCCTTCTGCAGCACCTCAGGAGCCATGTACCCGTGGGTGCCACTAGGGAAGAGAAAGTGAACATGCAGTTGTCAGAACGTGTCCATCTTATAAAACAGTCATAGCTTATCAGGAGGTTCCGGGGTCATTCATTTAATGGCAACAGCTGTAAACAAGGGATGGGGGATAACAGTACTTCCATACAAACATGAGTCATCCAACACCCAGTGGGGAAACAACCTTTTCTGTCTTAATTAGTATAGGAATTAATATAAATAAATTAGCATACAAAATAAACATGAGGCATAGTCCATTGTCTATGAGGGGAAATCTGAATCTCGTTAGTCCTTCTCCACTACCGCTTTGAAGAGCTAAAGGTCTCCTGCCTGACTGAGAGCTCTTATGAGGCGATGAATGGCACTGGGGAAAGGTGGGAGGTGACGATGACAGGTGGCTACGTCACAGTGCTGTGGACTTCGATGGGGTGGGGATGCCTACTCCTGTGTGGGGTCCTCCCACCCCGACCCCACCACCCGTGCTGAGGACCTGCACCTGGCCATGCTGAGGTCGGGCTACTTCCTTAGAATTGGACAGAACTGGATTTCAATTCTGGCCCCACAATGTGCCAGATATGTGACCCTGTTCAAGTTACTTAATTTCTCTGAACCTCAGTTTCCATACCATCGAAAGCAGATCATTATACCTATGACCTATGGGGTTTCTGTGAAGACAACATATTCAAAGCAGCTCGCCATGCATGCCTGGGACAGCTGACGTTCAACTAATGACACAGTAAGTGCTGTGGCGACTGGCACTGCCACTCCACACACAGGTCACTTTCTGGACAGTTCCCTGGGCTGCTAGTTCCAGGAGGTCAGGGATCCTTTCTGTTTTGGTCACTGCTGCACTGCCAGCACCTAGCACTCAGCCATTGGTAAATAAATACTGGTTGTATTAATTAGTTGACTTAACCCTAACAGCTGTCATATGAAGTAAATATCATTCTTATGTCCTCTTTATTGAGGTAGCACAACTTGGGAGGATTCAAACCCAATTCTTCAGGCTCGAAAGCCTCCTTGACTTACAAATACAGTATTTCATTGTGCATTTGGCTTTTTTAAGTAGTGGCCTCACTATCATCATTTAAACATGGAAACCAATCTTCCCAATCCTGCCCCTTTATACACACTTCTCAAATACTGAGAAGAGCCCAACTTTCAGAGCTGGCACGCGAATTACGGCCAAAGAGGGAACGGCTCTACGAGGAAATGAATAACCCCACATCTGAAAGTTAACTCTCTTGGAAGATTAACTCGTAGGAGCTCTTGGATTCATAAGGAGTTGCAACTATACTAAATGAAAGAAACTAGCACACCAAACAGCTGTGGCATTAAAAATTCAAATGACTCTCTTAAAAATGTCTGATGAACTTCCTGGGAGAAGCCCCTCCAACCAAGGTTCTCGCCTAATAACTGTGAAGTGCTGGCCAAATGCTACGCTATTCTCACCACGGCTCAGATTCTATAGAAAGAGGAAAACGTTTACAGACATGGTGCTGTTCACTGTTAACATGTGATCAGAGCTTTAAAACGCAATTCTGATGTAATGCAGTCCCTCAATAAAGTATTACGATTCAGAACTACTTTTCTTCCGGGCCCAGAAAAAGATGTTTTTGTGGTTTATTTTCTGCACAACATATGAAACGAGCCTCCTAGGGGTTTCTTCAAGACCACTGAACACAGAGATGAGTGTTAGCTCAAGAGGTACAATAAATGGTAATTTTAAAAGATTCGGTGTTAAGAATGATACATTTAAAGAGAAAAAAATAAAGCAAAAGTCGTCTGCTTTTCCACAAACGACACCCCTGTTTATACTTTCCACCCAGATAAACTGATACCAAAGAAATAAAAACGAAAACCCATACATATTCCATTCTGTGTCTACAGAGCCCTGGGACATTCCTGCTGTCATTTTAACAATTCCAGGTTCAGAGACGTCCTCGGGCCAGTGTCAACCTGCAGTGATCAAGCACGGTCACCGCCAGGCGCAGCTGAGGGTCCCCTGAGGGGTCAGGTGCTGGCTGAGGGCTGTGGTGTCAGGGAAGTTCCTCCATGTGGTCATTTAGAGCTGACAGAATACTCAAACCTAAGAGCATGACCCACGTTAAAAGCTTGAACTGCAGGTAGATAATTTGTGGGGGTTTCTTTAATTAAAAAAAAATCCTAATTTCTCTTCAGAAAAAGAAAACGCCCTTTTGAAAAGGAAGGAAAAAGTCAATGGAGAGGCTGGGCCTGCCTGGGCGAGCTCTATGCAGCTGCCTCTGCACACGGCACGTAGGCGCTTCATTCACTCTTATCACAACTTTCAGGGATTTACTAGTACTTCCACTTTATAGAAGAAGAGACTGAGGGTCAGACAGGTAAAATGGATGATATAGGGTCACACAGCCAGCAGAGACTCAGGTCTGCTGCCGGGGCCCCCATCTTTCCCACAGACCACCTGGCCCCTGTGCAGTTAACACTGGGGGCCTGTCCACGCTCCCCACAGACAGTAAGAGAAAGCACACGGCTCTTATTTCCTCTCCCACAACCCAGGATATGGGCTCTTCCTGGACCCGGCATTATCACATATTGACAATCACCACTGGCAAGAAAAAATGGGGGGGACATGTGACCAGGTCGGAGTCCGAGTGAAAAAACGAGTCGCAGCAGAGAAATGATAGTGAACAGTCGCACTACTCACACACTTGCATGGGGCTTCTTTTTGGAAAAATCACAGGCCAGGCCGAGATCTGATATCCTAACATGTCCATGTTCGTCCAAGAGGATATTTGCGGGCTAAAGAGAAAGAGAAGGTGATCTTTGAGAGTCCCCAAAATGAGACATGGGCTTTGAGAACTTCCACAACTATAGGCACTTGGTATCTTATTGGTTATTTTATCATAGTTCCTTCCTAAACACGAAAGTTAGCTTTGTATTAGCACAACCAAGGAGGGCACGATACAGAGAATAATATTTTTCATGTTAACTTTAGTAGGGAAGTGGTAATGGCAGAAGCGAAGGATTCCACTCCTTAGAAAATGAAACACGGGGCAGGTAACAGGGGAGGGCTGTGACCACAGTTCATCCAAGTTCAAAAGCGTTCTCTTCTCACTGCATTCCAGCCAGAACAGGACGCCTCCCGACAAAGGGAGTGAGTCCACCGGCTTTGTGGCTTCTGTGAACCATAACGACTTCTGAGAATGAGGCCATGAAGCAGAGAACAGAGAGGAATCTTGCAGGAATGTACCAGCACTGACCTCAGAAATCAAAATATTCCACAATGCCGCACCAATCCCAATCAGTGTCATTTCTGTTTACTGGTGCATCATCAACACAGGGCCCTACCAAATGACCAAATATGATTTTGACCACAACTCTGATGAAACATACCCATTAAGATGAGATTTAGTTAGCATAATCACGTAAAACAAAGCTCCTCTCCCTAATATACACTGAATTACACTCATCTTAATAGTATTTTTTTTTGCTGGAGATCAACTATTGTTTTGCTTGGAATAAAAATAATGGCATGCTATTATAAAATTGAAGCATGAATAATCATGAGTAACTAGAATTAAGTTGGAATAGAAATTAAATAATACCATTGCCTATTAAATAGCTTAGAAAAAAAATGCAGCATGAAGACGATTAGAAGCCAGCTATAGATTTAAACTAAAATGTATTGTAATAGCACTTCATGGGCCTTCAGCATGTATTTCGGTCTTCTGCAAAAATCAAATGAGGAAATAAAATGTCATGTGCCAAGCAGTGTTTAATTATTTCTAATTCAATGAAAATACATTTTTTCTTCTTTATGTTTGTATGAAAACTAAGGGAATAATTCTTTCACCTTGAAGAAAGCTTTAAAATTTACAAAGTATTCTGTGAAAAAAATTATATGCTCAAAAATAAAATATTTTAGATTCTTAGAAGGTAACGTTCAAAAGCGAAATCAAAACATATTTGCTCCTTGGAGAAAAGAATGTAATCCGTACATTTCAGTTGGTGACCTTGGGTTCATTCAAGAAGGAATCTGAGCTGGGAAGCAAACACATTCTCCTAGTCTTCTCACCCTATCAGGGAATTGTCAGTCCCATCATTTTTCTTTTCATTATTATTTACCCATTTATATATCTGCATAATCACTTCTATAATTTATCATGGTCCCTTTTATCTCTATCCCTGTCTTCAAACTGTTGGCTGGATGAGTGTCACCACAGATGTACTACTGGGCAAACTCCTAACTCCCTCATTAACGCGGAACCCAAGACCAGGTCCCACGGTCGGGAATGAAACAAACTCAGAATAGACTTATTTTTTCAGGTTCAGTGAGACATATTTATTTGTTTATTTACTCCCTCTCCCATCCCTTCCACCTTGACAACCATCAGCTTGTTCTCTATATCTATGGATCTGTTTCTGTTTTCTTTAGTTTACTCATTTGGAATTTTTTTTAGATTCCACAAGTAAAATCCTACTGTATTTGTCTTTCTCTCACTTATTTCACTTAGCATAATACCTTCTAGGTCCATCCATGTTGCCCCAAATGGAGAGATTTCATTCTTTTTTTTTTTAATTTATTTTTTATTTACTATTTATTTTTTATTTATTTGCTTCCAAAGTCCAGTGAGATATCAAAGAGAGTAAGAACAGAAGCCCAAGTCCAGCAATCTGGGGCTATATAGTTCAGGGATCTAAAAATCTATTTGTGTTTTAAGGTGATCTCAAAACGATGTGAGGCTCTGACAGTAGCCTTTGGGGGAAGTACTGCAGGCTGATCAGCAAGTCCACCCGATCGGATCAGATGTGCTCCAGCTGAGCCGTGGCCCAGCCATGCTATGTCCTGCTTCCCTAGTGGATAAACCCCGTGAGACGCATGCTCTTTGCTTGTTATCTTTGTACATCTCCAGTGCTAACACAGAGCCTTGATCAAATCCGTTGCTTAGTGAACATTAATTGAATTACAAGTAGTTGTAAAACGGACAACACCATAAACCTCCTACTACGCTTTTCGTGAATTAATTAAAATTTCTGCATTAGTGTTTCTGCTGCACCAGGCACTGTAGCAGGCACTCAGATGACCACGACGACTAGGACATGAGTTTCTAGAGTCTAGACGAGACTGACACCACATAGATGATGACTTCATTGGGGCCCACATAAGGAAAATGACAGCATGTGATGGAAGCTGGAGGGCCCAGACCACAGCACCTACTGCGCAGGTCCAGTATACAGTGAGCGTGTCCAACAGCCTTACCTTCAAATCTCTGTACACGACAAACCGATTGTGCATGTGTTCCAGCCCCAGGATGATTTCGGTGGCATAAAACCGCATCTCCTTCTCAGAAAACACCCCGTGCTGTGAAAGGTGATAGTGCAAATCGCCCCCTGGAATCCGAGAGGCAGAATTTAAATATAAAACAATATAAACAATATAAAACAAAGTTCTTGGGTTGGTAACACAGCTGCACCATGTCAGGTACACCATCATAGGGTGGGATTAGCTAATCTGCTTTGATTACTTAAGTCCCATCTAATGACTGAATCAATTTATATGTAGTGATCCAGTAGATGGCTTAACAACTGGCTCTGTGGATAATAAATAAGTAAATAAACTGGTCATATTGATGGATAGTTGATAAAGTAAATACAGTAAATTTTTTTTTAATTTATTTTTCAATTACAGTTGATGTACAATATTAGCTTCAGGTATAGCATAGTGATCAGACATTTATATAACGAACTGATCACCCTGATAAATTTAGTACCCATCTGACACCATACGTAGCTATTACAATACTACTGACTACATTTCCTATGCTGTACTTTACATTCCCATGAGTGTTTTTATAACTGACAATCTGTACCTCCTAATCCCGTCTGCTTTTTCACCCATACCCCTCACCATCCCCCCATCTGGCAACCAACAAAATGTTCTCTGTATCTACGAGTCTATTTCTGTTTTGTTTGTTCATTTATTCTGTTCTTTAGATTCCACATGTAAGTAAAACCATATGGTATTTGTCTTTTCTCTGACTTATTTCACTTAGCATCATACCCTCTAGGTCTATCGATACTGTCGCTAATGGTAAAACTTCATTCTTTTCATGGCCGAGGAATATTCCATTGTATATATGTAGCACATCTTCGTTATCCATCTTTCAGTGGACACTTAGGTTACTTCCATATCCTGGCTAATGTAAATAAATACAGGAAAAATTTAACTGGTAAAATCCAGGTGGTGGGTATTTGGGTGTCTCCAGAAAAATTATTTCAACTTTGCTGTATGTTTGAAATTTTTCATAATACAATGTTGGAAAAATCTTATGACCTAAAGTTACAGAGACAAAAAAATGCCACCAACAAAGTGAGGGCATGTTTTTATAAACTGTAAGGGAAAAGCTTGTATTGATCTATAAAAGTTACTGTGTGTCTAACTTTATCGCTCTGGCTTTTACAAGTGTCTTCCCTTTCACACACGTATTCCTGTATAAGCACTAACCAGAGGAAGATGTGAGAGATTTCCGGCATGCCTTCCCCATGCCATTCCCAGTCGGGATATTAGGTCCCAGGCCCTGGTTAGGCAAAGGGAACTCTATTCTGACCTCTGTCACCATTGATTAGATTTGCCTGTTCTAACGGTCACATCAATAGAATCGTATAGGATAGAAGCTGCTATGTCTGGCTTCTTTTGCTCATTATTATGTCTGTAAAATTCCTTCATGTTGCTGGATAGATCCGGTCTTACATCACTCAAAACATAATAAAACTTCACATGAACTTCAAAAAAGGTATTTCATTTGTTGAACTGTATGCCCTTTTATTTCAGCTCGTGTTACTAAAAATATTTTTTAGTACATACATGTCATTTTCTACTATTAGAAACTATTTTTCTAGCTAAACCTTTTTGGCATTCTCAAGATCATCATTCATAGTTTAAAATATCAATGCACAGTGAATCTGGGCTAAAGGTACAGATAATTGGGCTAAAATCCTTCCAAGTTGGTATTTAAATACCCTTCTACCTTTAACCTATATTCTTATTATGAGACATTTCATTCCTAAAAGTTGAGGGTCAGGAAACAAGCTAATTAAAGATCTAAGGCAGCTGCATTCCGAAAAATCAAGTTTCACCATGAAGTATTTTATGAAAATCTATTGTAGAAAATGCAACTTCCTGGGGCAAGACTGGGAGGGCCGGAGGGAAACTGCAGTCAACGTTTTAAAATGAATTTTAACTAAAAATTGAAGAGCAAAAGGTTTCCTTAAACTTCAGGGGGAAACTAATTATATGAAAGCCCAAACTGCCCATCCGCCTTTATCAGTGTAGCTGAGATTTCACATCAAAGCCTTTTAATGTATTCAGACTCCTTAGGTTTGGCTTACCATTCATCAGATCCAAGATGAAGCAGAGTTTATCTGGAGTATGGAAGGCATAGGTCATACACACAATGAAAGGACAATCCTAGAGTGAAAAAAAACCAAAAATTTATAAGAAAAGCAAGCGCTTTCCTGGAAAGCACATTTACTACCAAACATCATTTATAGATTTTTGCATCCACGCCACCGCCCTATGTGCTGAGCACAGATACCTACTCAGTAACTTGAACAGTAAAACCAATCTGGTTATGTGATAAAATGCCTAGACATGCAACTATTACTGACTGGAGCAGATGAACTCCAAGGTCCTCTCTCGCTCAAATTCCATCATGACTCTTCTATCTACATCTTCTTCAAAAGACTCAGATGCTATAGGAAAATATTACTGCCTTGCTAGTCTTTTGATTTTGGTTCTGGCAGGCCAAATATCCATTTCAATCTCTGTTCTGAAGTTGGAAGAACCATACCACGGGTGGGGTATGGGGTTGAAATGGTATCTATATTATTGCCTTGAAACACTGGGAATACAAGTGGAACTGATTTAGCTTTTAAAAGTGGAAAAATATACCAGGGTGGGGAACTGAATAACTCAGTTGTAACAATGTCAATTTCCCCCTAATTCATCTATAGATTCCATGCAATCTTGATTACAATGAAAACTGACAAGCTGATTTTAAATTTATATGGAAACACAGCCAGCCAAGAAAAGTTCAGATACTCTTAAAGAAAATCAAAGCTAGAAGACAGTGTGGTGCTAACCCAAAAACATACAAACAGGCCAATGGAACAGAAGAGAGAATCCTGAAATAGGCCCACACATAAACGGTCAATGGGTTTGTGACAGAGTGACGCAATAAGGGAGGGGGAAGGATGGCCTTTGTAATCAAGGGTGCTGGAACAACTGGATAGCTTACAATAAAATGTGAACATTCACCCCTACCTCACACCATACACTAAAGGCAACTCCAGGTAGCTATGGATCTGAAGGTAAACAATAAAGCTTCTAGAAGAAAACAAGACAGAGTATCTTCATGATCTCAGGGTAAGTAACGGTTTCTTCAATAGGCCACAGAAGAACTAACAGTAAAAACATTGATAAGCTGGACTAAAATTAAGAACTTCTGTTCTTCAGAAGGCACCATTAAGAGAGTACGAGGCAGGTCACAGAATGGGAGAATCTGCAATCCATAAACACAGAGAGGACTCCTATGTAGAATAGATAAAGAACACTTATAAATCAACAGAGAAAAGGGCAAGCAACAAATAATAATAATAATAATAATAATAGTAATAGTAATAATTAAATGGACATGTCACGTAAAAGGCTATCAAATGGCCCGCAAGCCTATGAACAGAGGCTGGACCTCAGTTGTCCCCAAGGAAATGAAAATTAAAAATCACAACATGACATCACTAAAACTCACAAGAATCGGCTAAAATGAAAAAGACTGCCAATACCAAGTGTTGACAAGGAACAGAGTAAATGGAGCTTCCATGGCCACCAGGAGTGTACAATTATGGTATAGCCACTTTGACAAACTGCTGAGTGGTATCTGCTAAAGCTAAGCACCGCCTGCAAACTCTTTGACTCAGCATTTCCACTCTGGGATACTCACCTCACGGGAACCTTTACTTACGTGCACCCTGAGGACTGCACAAGATGCTCCTCGGAGCACAATTCAAAATGGCCCAAGCCAGGAAATAACCAATATGCCTACCGACAGGACAGACACCTACACTGTGGTACACATTTATACAGTGGGATACTAGAGTATAAGGGCCAGCAAATTCTTTCTACGAAGGGCTAGACAGTAAATAACTTAGGCGTTGCAGGCCCCGTACTATTTCTGCCATATATTCTCTGCTTATTGTCTTTACAATCTTTTAAAAACATCAAAACCATTCTTACTTAGTTCATGGGCTGCACTAAAATAGGCCACAAGCCAGACAGATCTGGTCCACAGGCCATATGCAGCCTGCTGAGTCCTGTATTTAGCTACGGAATGCACTCTGGCCGTGTTCAATGACACAGATGAATCTCACAAGCAACACTGAGCGACAGGACCCAGACACAAGAGAGCACGTTTATATAAAGTTCAAACATAGGCAAAGTTAAATTGCGGTGCTAGAAACCTGGGTAGTAGTTAGCTTGGGCATGGGGTTAGTGACTGAAAGGGGCACAAGGAAGGTTCTAGAATACTGGTAAGATTCTAGCTCATGATCTGGGTGCTGGGTACAAATGTTCCCTGTGAAAATTCATCAGTGCTATGCTAGATCTATAACTAGGGCTATTTTAGATTCTTTATGTACAGCGAATACTTGCCATGTAACTGATTCAAATAAAAAATGGCACAGAATATCTATATCCACTTTCTTAACAGAAACAAAGAATTATTAAATTCCACAAAAGAATATTCAGATTTCAACAGAATAATCTGTAAACAGAGCCTGCATTAGTCAAACTTCTGTATTAAGGGCATCCAGACAAATGTGAGTGAACACATTCCTATACGCTAAAGACTCATGAACTTGAACTCAATTTCCATAAAACTTCTGGAGGAAATTAGGCATACTCCAGAATGCATTACAAAATTCATTTTGTGGTTACCTACTTTTCCTTAAGAGTTCTGCGGAGATGGTAGTGTTTACTGATTTTAAGATTTATTTGCTTTATAGGTAAAATGAAGACGCTATCCTTTTGCTGTTAAAAGCCACGTGGACTTCCTAGGTAGCGGGCACCGTCCCACTTGGAACCCACCAGACCTTTCCAATGGCCTGTTGAAGACAGAGCATTCTGCCACTTCCTAAGTGGGTTCCCCACATACTCTGGTTCCTGATCTGATGAACAATTCATCTGCAGAACAGAGAAGTGGGTAGACCCTGAAATTAGGAAAGCCAGGGTCTTTCCTAGCTTGAGACAGCAACTCCCCTCATTTCACCAAGGGGACAAGTAGAACCTGCCACGAGTATTTCTGAACACGACAGTACATGACTCTTCTAATGACAGCCCTGAGCAAATGCCAAAAGGCTAAAGTATACTTAAGATATCACGTTATTGAGATGGGGCATGAATTATAGACTGAGAATCATAGGCTATCTGAATAGAAAGAGCTCTAAAAAAAAAAAAATCACCAGGTCCGACTTCTTTATTTTAAAGACAAGGAGCCTAAGGCCCTCCCACAAAAGAAAAATAACTTGTCTAAGGTCACAAAGAAATTTGTCAGCCAGTCAAGGTTCGAACCCCAAGCCTCTTGACCCTCTCCAGAGTTCCCTCGATGTTAAGCTACTTCTAAAAGCAAGGTTTCCATAGCGATATAAAATAAAATCTCCCTTAAAGGGCTATGACTCGGTTCCCTCTACAGAGCGCATGGGCTGCAATCCGTGACCTCTCAGGTGCTGAGCAGATGCCAAAGAGTCTCACGGGAGTCTGAGACACAGAGTACCAAGAACTGACCCACACGAACAAACAGGCAGCAATTCAATGAACGGTGTTGATACAGTTCCAAACATCGTTACAGTTACGATATTCTGTCTTAATTATAAGTAAAGATAGATGAGAAGCAGTGAGTTTTTAGAGGTGGATGCATAAACAAAGCTCCTCAGCAAAAACCTGTCTTTGCTTTCCTACCGGCAGTGAGCAAAGCAGCTTGCGCTTTGTAGGAATTCTGTATAAAACTGTGATAACATAGACCATGAAGCACTTCCTTAAGAAAGTTCTCCACATCGCAGTCAGAGGAGTCTTCTCACACTGCACGGTGTATCATCTTATCTTCCTACTTCACACATTTTGTTTCCAAGTGCTGTAAGATTTTTTTGAAAATCTTCAGTGTTGGCCCAAAAAGCTCTTTATGGGCTGGGCTGGCCTCTGTCTGCCTCTCTCTCTCCAGCTTCATCTTGGGCTAATCACCCCATCAGGTCAGACCCCAGCTATGTGACCTTCTCTGAAGTCCCCAAACCCTCCGTGCTCAGGACCAGACACGCATTGGCCCCTCCTCTGACTGCAGAGGGGCACTGGGTGACAACACCTCCACCCTGGGGTGTGCCTACCAAGCGCTGGGTACCTGTCTTTCACAGCTCTTGCCACATGCTCCAATTATCTAAACATTTCTGAGATTATCTGAACACTATCACCTTCTCTCATTCTATGCAGCTCTGTAAGAGCAAGGAGCCAAGTCAAGTTTTGGAAGCCCCATCTTGTAGCAGAGTACCTGGCACAACCTAGGCCTCACATACGGTTCAGCGAATGAAGGAATAACACATCTGATGACCAGTCTTAAGAGGCTTCCTTAATGAAGGTGCTGACTGCTGCTCCCAGCTGCGGACACACTTACCCTGGTTTTCATACCTGCAGATTTCCTGTAACCAAGAATTACAGAGTCCAAGTAGGGGCCTCCTACTGTTTCTTTGGGGGATGAGGGATGGGAATACTCAATATGACAATGAAAGAGAAAAAAACTTGTAGTAAAAAAAAAAAACTATGGGGCCGGCCGAGTGGTGCGATGGTTAAGAACTGGCCTGGGACACCAGAGGGCCCTGGTTCGGATCCCACATATGAGGGCCAGTGACACTGCCCTCCACAGCTAAGATGCTGAACAACAGCTCAACCTGGAGCTGGGCTGCCTGTGAGTCGCCCGCGACAGCGTAGGCTGCAGACCCTGTGGCAGTGGGTTGCCATGGGCTACCGTGTGTAGCCAGAACCAGCATGAGCAGCCAGCAGCTGCAGTGAGCGGCCGTCCAGAAGCTGGCGACTGATCTGCCTCGCCCGGGAAGAGCGCAATGATGGTGCCAGCTTGGGCCAGTGAAGCAACGTCCTCCACAACTAGACTGAAGAACAAAAGGACACAACTTGTCTGTTCCCCTTCCCCCAATTCCCCAGCACTGTTCCCATCCCCCAATTCCCCAATAAAAAACTTTAAAAAAACTATGAAGACTGATTGCAGCTCAATTGCAGACCAACCCCCTAGGAAATCATGTGAATAAAGACTGATCTAAAGTTTACCCCAATGAGGCAAGATCACTAAAAACCTATCAACGGTGGCATCTGATTAGCAAAAACAATCCCAAATAACTTTACTACAACTCTTTTGGTTAAATTATATATTTATATGTTAAAAAAAAAAACCTAAATCATTTCGATATTTGAAGAAAAAATATATGCAATTCTTTTAAATTAGTTCAAAGCAGCAGCCCAATATAACCCAAATTTTTAAATTTATTCCTTAGGGGTAAAGGCGTGAGGAACTACACAACCACTTAACCACATTCCCCCTCACCTGAATAAAATAAGTATTAAAACGCTACATGAAAATCGTACGAATAATTTTCCAACACCAAAAACTGTTTTCCATAAGGCTTTTTTGAGAATAAAGATGCAAGGCTTTGAGATAACTCATTAAAAATTAATGCTTTAATAACCCCTTAAAATCTGCTGTAAGCCTACACCCACGTTTGAAATTCAATGCCTTTCATTCTGATTCCAATACAGTGAGCAGGCTGTTCTGTTTCCATTCCAATCAGCTGACAACTTGGTTGTGCATACGGCGTAATAACTCTTATTTGAAATGCTTAATGTCCATATGTTGGGAGGTAAAGGCGCATAATTAAAAATTATTTACAGCTATGGCATTTTCATTTGTTATAGTCGAGCGAAATTATGATATTCTTTGGCTTCCACAGCAGACAGCCCTTCTAGAACCATTAAAACTAATGCTAGAATAATAATATGAACCATAATGCAATAAAAGTTGGTGATGAACAAAAACACAGAACCCATAAAGTGATGATGAGAAAGGCACACCGGGAGGGTCCCAGGGAGGCCAGAAACTTTGGGTGAGGAAATTAACCTCTGAGTCTCTGGTTCCTTGCTTACTAGATGAAAGGGAGTCTTTGATTCACCATTAAAATTGGATTCTTTCCAATCCTTTGGGTGGAGAGGACCCTATTTAAGAGCCCAGCCATGATATCTGGAGGCCCCCCACATGTCTCAGTGCGCATCAATCCTCCTGGCTTGGTGTTCACCATTGAATTTCCACGTGAGCTACACGGCATTACCGTGCTCGGGACATTGTTTTCCTTCTAGGCTGACTCCCTGCCCTCCTCAAACACTGGAGGACAGCCTAGTGGTGCACACTGGCTGGCCCAGGTTTCTGGGACCACGAGTTTTCCTGGATGTGTCTTTCTATACATCTGTCCAAATAAATAAAAGCCAAGGTTTTGATCCTGGGTAATGCCATGAACAGAAGAGAAACACAATGGGAGGCTGTTGGGCAAGTAAAGACGACACAGGGTCAAGGTTTGTTTATCCACGTACTGAGCTAAACATGCTTGCTTGACATACAAATAAAACATCCAACAGAATGTTCCAGAAACACAGTCCTGGAAATGGAAATGACCAAAGTCCACAGCAGGTAAAAAGTAGCAAGGACTGAAAAGATAAAGTCACCTACAAAAGAAACACAGACAGGGACAACCCCACAGGGACAGTTCAGGGAGGACTAACCCCAGTTGCTTCCTCTCTATTTGTTTATGAAGGAGAGGAGTGACTTTCACACTTCTCTCTGGGTTAGTCCTTCTCAGTCATGCAGTCAATTCTTAACTATACTCAAGTGGTTTTTTTTATTGTTATGATTATTTGCCAGCCTTCTCCCCAACCATATTCCGCAAAGAAGGACATCATAAATACATAAGTACTAAAGGGAGAAGTCATGGGTGCGCATAGCAATGGTTGCTAGTACTTTTCCAACTCTCAAATTAAACGGAGATAATATCTGAATTGCACGCTATGTATATTAATTAAGTGTTGCTGTTCCCTGCTACAAATTCTAACCGGCCCAAAAACTGCTAGCCCCATAATTCACCAGAAAAAAATGCCTGCATTATTTTTTTTCCTGCATTTTAAATAAATTGTCCAATTGTCCTGATATAAACAAATACCAAAAAAAAAAAAAGGTAATGTTCAAAATTGAATACTTACTCCTGTGCTCACAAGTGACAACATAATCCTCTCATTTAAGGCTAATGTTTCTCCTTGTTTCATCTTGATCCTCTTCTTATCTAAGCATTTCATTGCATACCTGGAAGCATAAATATTGCTGAAAAATCGACACTGAAAATATATCGAGACTGATTTCAACAATACACACCAGACTGGGGAAGGTTTCTAAAGATTTGGACAGTGTTTAAATGAAGTAAAATGGCACCTAAGTGCCATGCAAAAAAATCCTTATTTTGCACGTATTAAGAAAAATAAAATCAACTCCCCCCTCTAGGAGGTGGGGTGTAACCCCCACTCCTCAGGTGTGAGCTGTGCACAGTGACTTCCTTTCAAAGAGCACAGCACGGAGGAGTAAAGGGGGAGTAACGTCACAGTGGAGAGGCTGACAAACACGACCACAGCCATGTGATTAAGGTCAACATCAACAGTGATACATCACTTTAATAACAGATACTCTTGAGATGATGTGACGAGAATGGCCTTTTACTTCTGGAGTCTTCCTTCCAAAAGCCCATAACCCCAACCTAACTATGAGAAAAGCATCAGACAAACCTAAACTGAAAGACATTCTACTATATGTCAGTTTGTGAGAGTCAGGTGAAATAATAAATGCATATGAAGAGACAAATTGATATTATTTACTTCTACAACATCATGTGACAGACTAGATATTCCAACTACCTCAACAAGCTGCAATGATGAAGCAGAACTAACAAATTTAGTGAAATGTAACGAGCAGCCAGTAAAGTATATCATTTAGGATCAGTGTACTGGGCGAATACAGAATGGGGAAGAACTCTGTCGTAAGAGAACTCTGTTTCACAACGTATTATCTCATTTAATTCTTATAACAACATAGGTGCTTTTATTATCCCTACTTTACATACAGACTAGAATGTGGAGGCTCAAAGAGGCACAAACTCTGCCCAAGCCACGAAGTGCGGAAGCTGAAGCTGATCTAGCCACGTGACACTGGGACCCACACCCTGGACCTCCAGGCAGCCCTGTCTCAGCGCGAGGCCAGGCTTCTGACACCTCGGTGCCAGGCATTGGGCTCACTCTGCACAGGGTCCCAAAATAGGAAAAAGAGCAATGGGCACCGATTAGTGAAGGTCAACTTCAGCCCCCAAAAGATAAAAAACATGCCAATAACTGGACCAGTCTGGAAACAGAAAAGACTGCCTGGCAAAGCTGTCAGTGCCCAATCCCAGCATGGACTGAGAGAGAGGCTGAGTGACAAGCTTCACGGGATGCTGGGGCAGCAGGGGGAGGTGCGCACTGGATCAGGTGACCTCACTTACTCCTTGTGACGCAATGATTTTATAAACCAGCTTCACAGCCTATTCCACCTTGCCCACTGCTCTAACATGGCTATCACTCAATCAGGCTTGTAGGCCTGGCTCTATCAAATCGTACTTTTCCATTCTCTTTTGCATTCAGAAATGTGTTCTCTCAAACTGCTTCTATATTAATAAAGCTTTTCCCCACACTTAATAACTCCACCATTCGCTTTCCAGAACACATTTACACCTGGCTCACAGGCACCTGATGGCCTCACACCCGACTCCCATGAGACGAGTGACTGAGCTGAGTGATGGAGCGCCACAGTTCTGATCCTCGTAGCAGGGCACCCGCCCTCCTCATCAGCACCCCAGGTCTTCATCTATGCAACCCACGTCCCCTGGAATGCCACGTCACCCAAAACTGCATACGCTGAATCACGGATGAGTTACTATTTACAAGAGAATGTCTACTGCTTTCTGAGGTATGTTACTTCGGGAGCAAGATCATGGGCTTCCACACATCTGTGCAGGAATTTTCTTTGGATGTGAGCATAAAATCCTCTTAATATTCCCAGCAAAATGTATGAGCGTAGAAAGCTTACATTTTTCCAGTGTCTGCTTTCCTGCAACCATATACTTCACCAAAACCTCCTCGTCCAATGATCCTATGGACGCTGAAATCATTCATGGTCAACTGTGAATCCAAAATACAAAATGGAAACATATAATTGCATAAAAATTATGCTGTAAAGATTTTTCCCATGCAAAACATATATACAAGTTATTGAAACGGCAGCTTTGATGTGGATCTGCCCTTTCCATGACTGTTGCCTCAAGCTGAGAGATGCACAAGGTGGCAAAATTTTCTAGAACCTCCTCCTCCTAGAACCACCCCCAAAATGCACAAAATGGAGGCAAATGGGAGGATAACATACTGGGAGCCAAGATAGATTGCTTTTCCAATCTCATAAATCTTAGATTTCAAGACACATCCCTTGAAGAGAAGTGATTGTGAAATTTCTAGTCAAAATGAAAAACAACTTCAGCTACTCTGAAGTCTAACATTTGAGAACAGTTCAGCCAATTCCAGGAACTATCATGGCAGAAAAATAAGTCTACGTCAAGGGCGTATGTGGTTTCCTAAGAGTGGGCCATACGATCAGAAGCCCCAACAGATGCTGGCCATGTGGATTTTTTATCGATAACATCAGTGATAAGAGGACTCACACTGGGCATGTGAGCATGCAACACGACTAAGGGTGAGCACAACAGATAGTAGATAGAGAAGCTTTATTTGGAAGCACTGGCCTTTTGTCAGTATCTCGGCAATGCCCCGTTTCACACGGAGCTGTCACAGCATTAGACGGTGCAAAGGCGGACAGACCATCCCACGGTCATGGTGAGAGACCATCAGACAATAGCAAATGCCCACTCATTTACATATCCTGGCGAATCCAGGGTCAGGTTCATGAAGGTTCCCCCAAACAACCCTTACAACATCAAGCCACATGAGGGTAACAGGCTTATGCCTGATGCTTAGAGGCCACAGGGCAGGAGGACATCGATCCGCCTGGAGAAGCACAGCACAAGGGAGATCCACAGCAGAAGACAGAAGGGATTTAAAAATGTGTGTTTATTGCCTCTTGCTTCTAAATCCTGCCCGTAAATGTGACTGAAATGGGAGGTTAAAAAAAAAAACACACACACAAACAAAAACAAAACAACTCCTCTTTCAACAGTACTAGTCAAGTTAAAAGCTCAAAATGAAAAAGAAAAATCCAGTTGATAATTTCTTTGTCCCACATGCTGCAAACCTATGTGAAGGGCGGACATGAAGGAGAAGGTGAGAGAGGCTGTAGAAATGAAGGCGCATTCTAAAAAATAAAGCAACGATTATGCCCCGGAATTACTGGCATTGAAAGCTGAAAGAAGAGGGAATGCTAGGGAAATACATGTTAGAGAGTAGCCAGTATCTGAGGATGGCTTTTCGCATTCTCAAAAAAAACAAGATGAAACTTCAGTTCAGGAAAAGATGTCATCATTTTTATTACATGATTACACCTAATAAAAGGAAAAGGAAAGGAACTTCTCCAGGATGGCAAAAGACAAGGGCCTATGGGAATGACGTTATATAGACTTTTATTTTTACTACTTCTGTTACAGGGTCAATGACTGCTTAAAATATCCTTCCTTAAATAAATAAACACATTCTTATAGGAATATGAAAAAAGATAATTAAAATTCAACTTGTTTACAGCTGGATATGGGAGGATGACTTTTCGTACATAAAGCTGTAAGAAGGACATCTGTTTCGGCTGCGTGTCACCCTTGGGAGTAGAATCCAGGATCAAGTATTTTCTCATGAAGCTAAGCCAGAGGAAGTTTTTATTTAAAGAAAGAAGGAAACGCATGATACTTACATGGATATTTAATTCTACGTTTTTCCACTGACAAAATCTAGTGAACTTGTCACTAAAAAAAATAAAAGAATACAAATGATTACTGGAAAGCTAAATATCAAAGTAACTGGACTTAAAGAATGATATTATAAGATAAACTGGAATTGTACTACAGCTGTGCTGCTTCTCCAACAGAGTAAGTTTTTTAAAACATTTTTTTCACAAAGCATTCACCAGTATTCGGGCTTTATTTGATGATTCAAACGAAAAACTGCATGTTTTTCCTTTCATTGTCATTATGGTAACATCTTTATCTGAATCAGCACTGTCCAATAGCAGAATCATATGAGCCATGTGTGTAATCAAATTTTAATAATATATTTTCTTTAACCCCAATATATCATATCCAAAAATGGTCAACATGCAATCTGTATAAGATTAATTATGAGAAATTCTACATTCTTGTTTTTAATACTAAGCCACTGAAACCCAGTGTGTACGTGACATTTACAGCCCATCCTAATTCACACTAGTCATACTGCAAATGTTCAATTGCTACATGTGGCTAGCGGCTCTAACACTGAACAGCGAAGCTCTAAATGACAAAAATGAATGTCTAAAAATAATTAGAAGAGTAGCAAACACTCCAATGTGCCAGGCTCTGGAGGCTCGTTTACGCCTCCCACCAACTCCGTGCACAGGCACGATGTGATCCCCATTTCACAGCTGAGAAAACCGAGGCTTGCCCACAGTCACAGGGAGAGAATGGGTGGAGTAGGGTTTGACCCCAGGCCACGTACTGCCTCTCAAAAGACACAAGAGAGGAGCCTTCCAGCTAGAATCGGAAGACGCTGTACGTCATACTGCAGTGAGGTGCTCCCGCTGTTTACGCAAAGGCTTGATGAGTGCTTTATTCATCCAGGAAGTAAGAAAAGCATCTACCCCATAGGTATTTAATAAAAACGTATCTACAAGGTGTTTTGTTTTTCATTTTTGTTCTCCAAAAAAATGCATTCTACATTGAATAGCTCTTCAAAGCAAAGAACATGCTTGATGACTATTAGATTTCATCGAGGCCCTGGCAGGATTTCTCACACACAAGCAGAGTATTCAGGGTTCTTTGGATGAATAAACAAATGAAGAAAAAAAGAAAGAAAGGGTGGAAGGGAGAGAGTTCTTATGAAGTGCAAGTTAGAAGTATTGTCAGCATTATAATAAAATGCCTTAAAGCATCCAAATATCCCAGTTCCCCTGGGGGCTTCATTTAATATACCTTCTAAGGATCTTTTAAAACTATTTCAGAGGCTAATAATCAAATTGAAAATCAAAAGCAGAAGAAAAACTCTTTGTAATTACATAACATCTTTTTTCAGTCAATCTAAAATGACTTTTAAGGCGTGTTTCATTGATCCTCCTAACATTTTTATGAGGATGGTAAAATAAAATTATATTTTGAGAGTTTCTGGGAGTTATTTCAAACGGGCTTTTTTTTAAGTATGATGACTACAAAAGGCAAAACCACAGTGGGCTGTGCTCCACATTTATACATCCATGACCGGTTCTGTGAGACGCACGTGCTGTGTTGGGCTGATTCAGACTCTCTTTTCTCACAGATTCTGAACTGCAGAGCTGGCAACAGAGGGTGGTGAGTTAGCACATTTTACAAACTAGTGAACTAGCTGGGGAAGGTTAACAGCCAGGGAGAGAGAAGTGCCCTACGGGCCAAGAGAAGAGTCTAGAGCAGCGGTTCTCAACCTTCCTAATGCCGCGACCCCTGAATACAGTTCCTCATGTTGTGCTGACCCCCAACCATAAAATTATTTTCGTTGCTGCTCTATAACTGTAATTTTGCTACTGTTATGAATTGTAATGTAAATATCTTTTTGTTTTCCGATGGTCTTAGGTGACCCCTGTGAAAGGGTCGTCCGACCCCCAAAGGGGTCGCAACCCACAGGTTGAGAACCGCTGCACTAGAAGAACCAACTCCCAGCCTCTACCCTGCCCCAAAAGAATACAACACCCCCAAAAACAGAACACCCTCAAATACACATGCTGTCCATGAAATATGGGTGTGTTGTAACAAGTTCTTCAGGCAGCAGAGGTGGCCCCTGGGTGTCTAGGCTCAGTTGTGTGTCCCTGGGGGTTCCTTGAGCACTATTCCTAGTCACTACCCAGTTACTACGATAGGCGCTTCTTGGTAGAAGAACCGAGGCAGAGAACAGGGTAGAGACCGAGCAACAGACGGTAGCTCAGCAGGCAGGTCAGGGGTTAAAGATAACAGAAATGACTAGGGAACAGTGAGGGCGGGGAAGAGGGTTTTTCACTCCAAGCCCTGCCTTGGGCTTTGGATTGTTGAGCAGTAGAAGTTCACTGCCTGGACAGGGCTCAGACACCTCATCCAGAAGAGAGAAGGCCTCGCTCCTGGATTCAGCCCCACCTGGAACCCAGCCCCGTGCTCCTATTCGGCCTCAGGGGGAGGCTGAGAGAGGAGGCCTGGCGCTGCTGACGCCTTCCCGTTTGTTATCGCCTGCAGTGTGGCCAGTCCTGAGGACGCCCAGGGCTACAGGGTTCTCCTTACAGGGTTCTCCTTACGGGGTGCCCCATGCTTTTCAAAACCCAAGCTCGAAGCTCTTGGTTTGACAATGGGTTTTTTAAATTCTAATTTTGAGAATGCATTAACATAAAAAGAACCCAGAAAGGTATAAAAATGAACACACTAACTTTAAAAATAATTCATTTACAGAAAATGGTAACTGTTTCCAGAAATCCTGTGTGCAGGCTTGCCTAAAATGCAAACAGCTTCACTGGTACTTCCTGTGACAATGAGAGCGAATGGCTCACTCAGTAGGGAAAAACGACCGTGCAGGTTGAACTTCTCCTCCAGTTTAAATTGTGGTCCCCATCTCTCCCCTCTCCCCCCAGGATCACAAAAGCTAGGCTGACCCCGAGTTGGGAAAGGCCAAATTTCAGAACCAACAGCAATGAAGTCAGCCCTGAGCCAGCATCCCAGTCTCGGTTCCGCGGCTTGTTGGCCAAGTTTCTGCTCCTCCTCAGAAAAATGTCATCACTTGTAGGCATGTTAGTTTCCCAAAATATTGACTCCACTCCAGGATAAAATTATCTCTTGAACTCTAGTAGAACCATAACACAACGGGTTTTTTTTTCCCTAAATTACTTTAGTTCTGTGAACATGCAGAGAAAAACACTGGAATGAAGTTGCATTTGTTCTTAAAGGGCAATTAGGGAAGAGCAGCTGCAGGCTGCTCTGGCAACGAGACACCATCAGCATGGCAACTGTCTAGAACTCAGCCGAGTTTGTGGAGAAAAGCAGGCAGTGTGAATGCAGATTTCAGGAAGTCCGATTCTAATGGTGCATTATCACCAAAGAATACTCAAAACATTGACTGTGGGGGCCTGAACAGCAGATGAGCTCAACACTTTCACAGGCCTCACAGTAACGTTTCCGACTTTTCTATGACAAATGTGCTCAATAGTTTGAGTAACCTGAAGGGACATATTTATTACGTATATTAATGATGCATATGACCAGAAACAGACATTAGCCTATCTATCCTTAAATTCTACTACATAAAGAATCGGACGCAGGCTTGTCCCACTTTGGGGAACATGATTTTAAAGTCCAAATACATGAATTAGATAAATTATAGAGTTGTGTTTGCATTAGCAAAGGTGTCCCGATAAGATCCTTTCAATATTGAGGTTTCCTAGTCTATTTAAATTTTAGACCATTTTGAAGCTAAAGAACTAAAGGTCAAAGGGACGTTAAAACATGCAAGTCTTAAATTATAATGCAGGGTATCAAGGAAACAGCCTAACACAAAGCCTGGCACATCGTACGTGGTCCATAAATACTTGGTGAATAAATAAATTAACACACATTTTAAGGATAGCACTTACTGAATTAAATGAGGTACAAGATGTTACATAAATACATATACAGTAACATTCTAATAGGTTATATGTCAAATGTAGCTCCACAAAAGAAGATTGTGGTTACACACATAAAGTTTCATACCTTTCCATAAATTTTTGAAAAATGTCGCCGCGAAGACTTTCACAGATTTCTTCTATGTATGGCTGGAAAGGAAGGAAAAGAAATACCATACTGCGTAAATAGGAACATGTGACAGTGACAAACACAAACGGATGAGACTCAGACACGGTGAGGTTCCCAGTGACGCTGTCCCACAGCGCCCTGGACATGCCCTTCTCAGCCCCCGTCCAATTTCCACTGATGGGTTCATCATCATGATGTATTTAACAGTTATCTATACCACCTGATGGCACATGCCATGGAGGAAAGGCCAAGTCTGTCCTGCTTGCCATCATATCCCTACTGCCCAGGCCGGCTCAGTGCAGGTCACAGATGCTTCTTAAATGACCACTTAGGTGAGTGGGTGTGCGACCTGGGCAGTCCCACAGGGCTTAGGCTCAGAAGGGCACAGGGCTTGATTTAGTGCCCCGTCGCCATCGTGAAGTTCTTAACAACTGCTGAACAGGGGGCCCCACATTTTCATTTTGCACTGGGCCCTGGACGTTATGTAGCACACCCTGCAAATTACAATTAGTTATATAATCGCTATTAATTAATATGATTATTATAAATGATCAGCATTATTATTGAGTTTTCAAGGCTAAAAACCAAGGCACCCACAGGTAAGCTTTCTAAAATTAGCTATTTTCCTTACTGACTTTCTCCCTCTTGGAATCATAGAGCTAAAGGTAACCACGGGGTGGGGGAGCGGGGAAATTAATCCTGGTCCTTATTTGGTACATAAGAGGCTGTGGAGCTGCAGGCAGGTGCATTCCCAAAGTCTCTGAGCAAATTTATGGCTAAGCCGGCCGGGCTTCAGGCCAGGGCTCCTGGCTCACTTGCGCAGGGCGCTTTCCCTGTCAACTATCGCCTTCAATTTCATGCCGCTCTACACATTACTGAGTAAACAGCATCACTTTAATTTTCCATGTGACAAACTTTAAATCAAGAACTATAAACGTATCAAATGTCAACATTTCACAGTTCAATACAGAGTCAATTAGATAGTTTTGGAAAATATCTTGACACTCCCCGCTCACTGAATGACGCAAATTTAGGGTTTTCTGTGTCTTCACACGTCGTTCTGAAAATTTGCAAGAAAGGGGGTCCGATCGGAAGCCGTCCAAGGCACGTGATCAGACCAGGAAGTCTGCAGAAGCCACAGTAACCAAACAGGTAGTGAGACAACCACAGCGCTTCTGGGAGCCTCACTTCCTGCAGCAGAAAATAGACCCGGGGCTCAGCCGCCTCTCCACCTCCCAGGGCTATCGCTGTCCTGGGAAGGACACTGGGACTGGTCACTACCACCAGATGGACTTCGTTCCTTCCTGGTAAAAGGAGAAGCTGAACTCCCTCTCTCTGAAGCTCTTCCCAACCCTGAGATCCTATGATTCAACGATGACACAGATCAATCCTAGCCAAGTCCTCCAGATGCAAAAAGCTGCGGGCCACCAGTCTCAAGGGGTTCAAAAGACACCGAAAGATAAAACAGATCAAGTGTTTGAAGGTCTATGAAAAGGCTAAATCTATATATCACAGATTTCCTATTTGTAAAACTATTATGGGGGGTGGCCAGTTAGCTCAGGTGGTTAGAGTACAGGCTCATAACACCAAGGTTGTCGGTTCAATTCCCACATGGGCCAGTGAGCTGCGCCCTCCACAACTAGATTGAAACATCTACTTGACTTGGAGCTAATGGGTCCTGGAAAAACACACTGTTCCCCAATAAAACAAACAAACAAATAAAAAACCTACTATGTTAATGTCTACTTGTCATATTTTATTCAACATCTCATACTTTCTGCTAATAAAATAAAAGACAAAGGTCACTAGGAATTCTTAAGACTAAATGTAATGTAGCCATTGCCATTTTCAATAGAAAGAACCACAAGCTCTACCAGGTAAGCAGTGCAAAAGCCAGAGTTCTACAGTGGCAGCAGAAGCAAACGAGTTCACCTCTCTGAATCTGTAAAGTGAGATGGTCACATCTAATTTGCAAGGCTACTGTGAGGAGTTAATAAGAGTAAGAATGTTGAGGGCCAAGCACAGGGTCTGGCACATTTTAGGCACCTCAATGCAAGCTAGGACCCCTCCCTACCCTTGCCGCCAAAATACGCCTACACAATTACTTCTAAGTCAGTTTTGCAAACAACAGAATTTAATGAATAGCATTTTGTATTTACTTTCAGAGCATTTTTGTTACACTCCCTTCTTCTCTTGGTAAGAAATTTCAACTCAGGCATCATACTTCCTAATTTCAAAATATATTATAAAACAGCAGTAATCAAAATAGGATGGTATTGACATAAAGACAGACATTACAGACCAATGGAACAGAAAAGAGAGTCTAGAAATAAATCCACATATCTATGGTCAACTGATCTTTGACAAGAGTGCCAACAATACACACAGGGAAAGGAAAGTCTCTTCAATAAATGGCATTAATAAAACTTGATATCTATATGCAAAATGAAATTGGATCCTTATCTCGCACCATACACAAAATCAACTCAAGATGAATAAAAGACTAAAACATAAGACCTGAAACCATGCAACTACTAGAAGAAAACACAGGGGAAAAGGCTTCTTGATATTGGCCTGGGCAATGATTTCTTTGTGACACTAAGAGCTCAGGCAGCGAAAGCAAAAATAGACAAGTAGATTGCATCAAACTAAAAAGCTTCTGCACAGCAAAAGAAACAATCAACAGAGTGAAAAAGCAACCTACAGAATGGGAGAAAATATTTGCAAACCATATATATATCTAATAAGGGGTTAATATCCAAATATAAAAGAAACAACTTAACAGCAGAAAAACAAATAAATTGATTTTAAAATGGGCTAAGGACCTGAAGAGACATTTTTCACAAAAAGACATACCAACAGCCAACAGGCATATGGAAAAGGTACTCAACATCACTAATCATCAAGAAAATGCAAATCAAAAACACAATGAGCTGCCAACTCACACCTGTTAGGATGGCTATGATTAGACAGACAGGAGAGAAGTGATAAGAGGATGTGGAGAAAAGGGAACCCCTGTACACTGTTGGTAGGAATGTAAATTGGGGCAACCACTCTTGAAAGCAGTATGAGACTTCTCAAAAACGTAAAAATAGAACTACCACATCATCCAGAAATCCCACTTCTGGGTCTACATCCAAAGGAAATGAGATCAGTATGTCAAAGAGAGAGCTGCACTCCCATGTTCATTGCAGCGTTATTCACAACAGTCAAGGCCTGAAACAACCTAAGTGTCCAACGATGGATGATAAATAAAGAAAATGTGGGATGGCCCCACACACACATACACACACACACACACACACACACACAGAGGAATATTATTCAATCTTTAAAAAGATGGAAATCCTGCCATTTGTGATAACATGGATGTACCTGGAGGATGTTATGCTAAGTGAAATAGGCCAGACACAGAAAAACAAATACTGTTATTTCCATGTGGAATCTAAAAATGTGAAACTCATAAAAGCAGATAGCAGAATGGTGGTTACCAGGGGCCTGGGAGGTGGGGGAAACGGGGAGATGTTGGTCAAGGGTACAAGTTTTCATTTATACAGGGTGAGCAAGTTCTGAAGATCTACTACTGTACAGCATGGTGGCTACAGTTAACAACACTGTATTGTCTACTTGAAATTTGCTAAGAAGCTAGATCTTAAGTGTTCTCACCACACAAACACAAATGTAGCTATGTGAGGGGATGGATATGTTAATTAGCTTGATTGTGGGCATCACATCACAATGTATATGTATATCAAAACATCAGTTGTACACCTTAAATTATATACAATTTTTATTTGTCAATTATACTTCAATAAAGCTGGGGGAAAAA